TGTTTAAGGGCAATATTTGCTTCAGACTTTTCTCATTAATGTTTGCACAATTTTCCTTATGCACACTCTGCACCACATAGCAGGAAATATTCTCAGCTAACAAACCGGATTCTTGGCCCAAGGGGTTTACAAACCAGAACCCAGGGTATATGCTCAGGATGTAAGACAAATTTAGAAATACAGATTCTTCTGTTAAGATACTTCACAAAAAGATAAATTTGGAGAACGTGAATTTTCTGCCTTTATTAATACTGAAAACGGGGAAGGCACCAAGAGACTGACTTACAATATCCTTCCTCCTACTTAGAAAAATTTAAAAGTCTAAGTTATTGATTCTCTTTCTGAAGTCAAACAAGAAAACTCATTAGAGGACATACTGCTCTGCATAATTTTCTCCAAGACTGGAAGATTACAGACTGCTGTGGTGACATTTTGGGGAGGGAAGCTCCAAGTAAGAATGGATTAGGTCAATCCTTATTTCAAGCAATTTTGACTTTACACTATTACATTAATTTACACTTTTTAATATGTAAACAGTGAGTCAAATAAAGTTTCTATTAATTTAAAGGTTTTGGGTTTTTTTTTAATTTGATATATAAAGGACCTACATTTTCCTGCACCAATATTTCATCAGGGCATGCAGATGAGCCTGAGTGTTGTAAAAGCCTATGACAGTAGAACACATATTCTAGGAGGTCCAACAAATTGAAAAGGTTTCAGCAGCTAGTGGATAGTAGGCCTGTGAGCTGGGGATAAGCCTTGCTAAGTGTAAAGAGGATCATCACCAAAATGTTGGCCACCAGGTGATGTCTTCCTTTTTTTGGGCTGCCACAGCTACTTGTGAAAAACATCTACTAAGATGTAGAAGATGTAACCCCCTAAGCAGAAAGGATATCCACCACTGTGAAATCAGAATGCTTTTAGAGTAACCAACTATATACAAAGGGTACTACAATGAGTGACTCATTCACAAATATAAGAAATATGGCTCTATTAATATACTCTTTGAAAGGTCTGACTGCATATGCCATGTGACACATTAAAATCCATCCAGTCTTAATGAATATCCCCTTTTAGGAGGAGGTTTAAGGGGGGAGTTGTGTATTTTGGAAGGCTCTATAACATTTACCCAACAATTCTGCCATTACTCAAAATGCACATGGAACTCCTTGGGAACTGCTTTCTCCACACCCCTTCCAATGTTCTCAGGCATGTAAAGCTTCAGGATTTGAAGGTGAAAATGGCCAAGATTTATTCAGAATCAATTCTGGTAAATTCAAGCGAAGTTACCCATTTTAGGCAAAAATGTTTTCTTGGCTTTTTTTTTTTTAGCTAGGCAATGGGGTTAAGTGACTTGCCCAGGGTCACACAGCTAGTAAGTGTTATATGTCTGAGGCCAGATTTGAAAGCAGGTCCTCCTGAATCCAGGGCTGGTGCTCTACCCACTGTGCCACTTAGCTGCCCTGCAAAAATGTTTTTAAAAGGAAGTAGGTCTATAAAATAACATCAGTTTTCTTGTGTCTTCCATAAACTGGCTCTGAAGGTACACAAGTGAGGAATTTCAAGTATGTTTTGTCCAAATGCCATCCTCACTAGAATAAGTGCAACATCTCCCAAGGAGATTGCTTTGAAGAATGATACTCACCAGTTCTGGCGGTTATTAAAAACAGATTTAATCCTCCTCTCATAAATACATAGGACTTTACAGAAGGTATATTTTTTAAAAGCCACATGGCAAGGGACTTATAATTCTCACTGACCCACACCCTACCGAATATAAAGATCTACCCATATGGGTTTAACAAACATTTGTTCAATGAAGATAGTCAGGAACAGAAACTTATCAGATTACAGAGACCCCTCTAACTTACTCTAACATTCTAACATTCACAGACATAAAATCTACATTTAAATTGCAAGTTTGGTAGAGGGGGAGAAGGAAGTGGTGGTGGTGAAGTGAATGTGAACCATAAATTACTCCAAAAAAGTACAGTCTGTTGAAGTAGCTGCTCCAAGACCTAGCAGAATGGGTCAGAGACTGGTAAATACAGTAAATGTTCATTTACCCTAAAAGTATTCTGCAATAGGAACCAGTTTTGTAATAGAGGGAATGGAAAAAAAGTTATCTATTTGTTTATGGATAATTTGTCAAGTGTGTCCCATTGCGTCAAACTGTGTTACTTGGCTTAACTGCTTCAACAATGCATGAATTCTGCTGAATCACTGACCCTGCTCATTGATTGGGCTACACAGTGTGAAAGGAACAAGGTGGAGGATCTCTATTACAGCAGTCCCAAGTGCTATAGAAGAGAAAGAATCGTTTGTTTTGACCTCTCATGTTACCAGTGTCTCTGAAAATTTCAAATTTTGTTTTGGGGAAGTCATTTGTACAGTCTATAAAAAAGACAGGCTACACACAAAGCAAAATAGAGAGTTTTCCATTAAATTATTTTCACTATAGTAAGAACTAAACACCACTGAAGAGCTGACCTAGCCTTTCATGTGGTACAGAGGTGACTCTAAGCCACTGAAGGCTATGTTGGCCAAGTGCAAGTACTAGAAGATTCCCTCAAACTGAGTTTTAAAATAACAGACTAATAAAGGCTTTTGCTAAAGAACCAGCCTAGTTAAGTTTGGCTGAGCTCATCACCAGGTGACCATAGGGAGTCTATGGTCAGGCATTTATTAAGTGCCTACTATGTGCTAGGCACAGTAATAAGCACTAGGGGTACAAAGAAAGGCAAAAAATAGTCCTTGTCCTCAAGGAGTTCACCATCTAATTCAAGAGATAACATGTAAACAATTATGTACCAACAAAATATATACAGAAGAAATTAGAGAAATTTAACAGATGGAAGGCACTAGCATTAGGGGGGATTGGGAAAAATCTCTTCTAAGTGAGGGAGGCCAAGAGATGGAGATCAGGAGAGAGAATTCCAGGCACACAGGGACAGCCAGTGAAAATACAGATTCAGGAGATGGAGTGTCTGGTGAAGAGATTTGCAAAGATGCTAGTGTCACTGGATTACAAAGTATGAAGCAGAGAGTAAGGTGTAAGATTGGAAAGGTGGGGCAGCTAGGTGGCTCAGTGGAAAGAGCACTTGCCCTTGAGTCAGGAGGACCTGAGTTCAAATGCGGCCTCAGACCAAACACTTGACCTTTACTAGCTGTGTGACCCTGGGTAAGTCACTTAACCCCAACTGCCACCGCTCCCCCCTAAAAAAAGAAGATTCAAAAAGTAAAAGATGGACAGATTATGAAGGGCTTTGAATGATAAATAATGGAATTTATATTTGATCCTGGAGACGAGAGGAGCCACTGGAGTTAATTGAATAGTAAAGTGACACAGTCAGACTTCAGGAAGATTAATTTGACAGCTGAGTAGTGGATGAAGAAGAGGGAGGAAAGACTTGAGGCATGGAGTCCAACCAGCAGGCTACGGCAAACAGCCAAGGGGGGAGGTAGTAAGAGCCTACACTAGCATGATGGCAGTGCAAGAGGAGAGAAGGGAGCATATGCGAAAGATGTTAAGAAAGAAGGTAGAAATGACAGCGCTTTGTAACTGATTGGATGGGGGGGGTGGCAAGAGAGAATGAAGAGTCAAGGATGACACCTAGGGTTTGAGCCTGGGTGACCAGGAGGATGAAGAAGGGAGGGCTTGAGGGGATAAGATAATGAGTTCAGTTTTGGACATGTTGCATTTAAGATGTCTACTGTACATGCACAGTTCAAGATGCCTAATAGGCAGCTGGAGATGTGACACTGGAGGTAAAAAGAGAGAGGTTAAGGCTAGATAAATAGATCTGAGATTTTAGCATACAGATAACTGAATCCATGGGAGCTGATGAGATCACAAAGTACATATAGGAACCCAAAAATCTACCCATTAAAGTGCAAAGGGCATCAGCAGATTGAGTGTCTCATAGTAATGGAATCTTAGATCTCTTAAGTACTGAAGAATTTAAGTAAAAAGAATAAAAATTAAGAACCTTTTGGTCATCATAATGTAATCTTTCTTGTATTCCTTAACCAGATGTTTGGCGTTTTGTTACGTACCTTACATGTGTCTTTAAGACAAAGAGGAAAAAGAGGCTAGTATGAGTCATTTCAAGGAGAAGATAAAGGAATTGACATTTTGCTCACAAAGAATGCACAATTACTGAATTTTAAAATGCCAATAATCTGGATGACCTAATATATTGTTAGATGCTTATTGTTTGATTGCCTGACCATAGATCCCCTATGGTCACCTGGTGATGAGCTCAGCCAAACTTAACTAGGCTGGTTCTTTAGCAAAAGCCTTTATTAGTCTGTTATTTTAAAACTCAGTTTGAGGGAATCTTCTAGTACTTGCACTTGGCCAACATAGCCTTCAGTGGCTTAGGGTCACCTCTGTGCCACATGAAGGGCTAGGTCAGATCTTCAGTGGTGTTTAGTTCTCACTACAGTAAAATTAATTTAGTGGAAAACACTCTATTTTGCTTTATGCACAACATGCCTTTATTTAAAGACCAGACAAATGACTTTTCTCCAAAGCAAAGATTTTAAAAGGTCTTGACAGTTTGGATTTTCTATGGGTTGAAGTTAAAATAAAAATAATAAAGATTAAAGTCATGCACTTTTGTTAAAAAACAAAACACATCTCATACAAATAGAGAATGGTAGAGAACTGGCTTAACAACAGTTGGGGAGGGAGGAGGATGAACCACAGAGGGGGAAGAGGGATTTCTGCTCACTCCAAGCTTGGAACACTTTGGGAGGAAGTCTTCAGATATAACCTGAAAAACTACCTTCTACATGGGGGAGTTTGGAGGATCTCTAAGGTCCCTTGACAATTTCATGTTCTATAACATGATTCTACCCCAGAGAAGGTAAAGTTGAAAAGCTGGACTGGAAGACCACAAAAAAATATTGTAGAGTTGAGTACCTTCTATTTTCACTACTAAGAAAATACTATCACCCAGGTGCCACAAAAAGTACAACCTTGTTAGGCAGGCAGGTGCAGGATGTCCTGTGGTGCCAACATGGCCAGTCCTGCAACTGCAGAGATGTTCTGGTGCCTTTCTCAGAAGTTTATATACTTCTGGCACTATGCCTGAACTACTGGCATGCAAAGAGGACCATGCTGTTTACAGCAGCATAGATAGTTGCTCAGGTAGGGCAGTAATAGCTATTTCTGCTGTGCTCAGTGTGGGGAGGATTACAGGGAAGAGGGTAACCTCTGCCGCTCCCTGAAGTTTGCCAGCACCATCACTTACGAGGAATGGTGGAAGTGAGGGAGCAGAAGAAAGCCACTCACTGTGCCTCTGGTGTTCTCTTGTGATCTGAGAAAGCAATTTTAACTGGGTAAGTGAAAGATTTTAGTGTCTGGCCTTGGATGAGCATTGGGTATGACATCTGATTAAGAATTTTTTTGATAGTGTTTCCAAGTTTAAATCAGCAAATAGAAAACTTAGCGATTGAAAATTTCAAAGAATTATCTGACATCAGAAGACCAGTGTTTAAATCCTGGCTCTACTACTTACTAGCTGGGTTACCTTAGGCAAGTCCTTAACATTTCTGGGCCTCAGTTTCCTCACCGGTAAAATTAGGGGGTCCCTTCTAACTAAACTGATCCTGTGTACAGATGATTGGGGCAGGTTGCACAATGTTTTTCTCGAAATTTAAGAATAGCTATTTTTTTAGGGTGCCTTAAATGGGCAGAGAGTTAGACTAGTACAATCAACCAACAAGCATGTGTTAACTGCCTACTTTCGGATACCATAAAGGTATGTCAAATATAGAATCGCTAACAACAATATACATCTAACTAAAGTCATATTATTTAGTCATAATAACTAAAGTCACTTCTGGCTAGGAAACAGGTCAAATGCTTGTATTAATTTGTGTGCTAAGGTTTTGTTCCTGGCCTACTTTACTCATTATCAGAATACATTCTATATTAATCAATACTCTTGGAAAGCAGAATTTGTTTGCACCTTTCAAAATCTTACTTCAATGCCATCAGTACATGTTTACAGAATATAAAAATATGGTTATATTTTTATACTTCAGAGTGTTTGTGGATTGTTAAATATTATGTAATTATATGTTAAAAGAAAACTAGACCATGAAGGATATACAGAAACAAGCAAAGACATTATGTACTTGAGCACAGAGGGATGGCATATAGGTAAGCAGGGACACTAGGTGCACTGGAACCAGAGAACTTGTGTATTCTAAATTTTTTTTTTCTACAGCCCTTTGAGAAATATCTTAAGAAATAAAATACAAAGATCTGGGAGGAATGGAGATACTAAGTGCAAGGAGGGAACACTCCATATTTAGGATCACAGGCTAGACCTAGAACTAGAAGGGACCTAAGACGCCATCCAATTCAAACCCCTCACTTCATTTTATTTTTTGTGAGGCATTTGGGGTTAAGTGACTTGCCCAGGGTTACACAGCTAGTGAGTGCAAACCCCTCATTTTAGACAGGAAGAAACTGAACCTCAGAGAGGTTAGATAACTTGCTCAATGCTATATCAGAAGAATGTCATAGGTAGAATGTGAACCCAAATTCTGACTTTAGAGCCACTGAAGCACGGGTGTAACTGCAACAGAAGGGGAAAATGAGAGGTCAAGCTGTCTGGTAGGAGGCACAGAGGGGGGAAGAAAATGGTCCAATGAGGAAAGAAGAAATCTAGTTGGAAAATGAAGGAGAGATGTTGCAAAAAGTGATGAAAAGGAGTAGGAAAGAAACAGGGATCCAAAGATGGGCACAGGAACTAGAACAAAGGAGACTACATTAGAGTGGGGAGGGAGGGAGAAGCCTGAACTAGTCCATATGAAGCCTCTGGTTAGTATTTGTTAAACTCCTGGAGATAATTCTCAGTTCTAGGAGTGTGTATTTTCTCTACTGTTGCAACACGGAAGGTTTGACCTATTTCTTCACTATCACTGATTTATTCCACCTGGGTACCTCTACACTCAGGTTTTCTATGGAAACGGACAAGAGTTTCTAGGAAACTTCCCTTACCCTACTGGCTCTGGAACAGTTATACAGGGCTTCCTTAAGATTATTAGGTTTTTTTCTTAAATGCTAGTTAGCATGGTAGAGGGGGCATGGGAGCCTTAAAACAGTTAAAAAGAAGGGACAGTGATAGGCCCTATAGGTAAGGGCAGCAGTAATAAGAGAAATGAAAACTATTTTCCTGAGGAAGAGAGAAAAGACTTGGAACCAAAAGATATGGCTAGATTAAAAAAGACCTGGCCACTGATTTCATGGGGTGTTGGAGGAGACTAGAAAGATGAGTCCCTTCTGCTGTCTAGACTCAGTTTCTCTAGCTATAAAATGTATATGACATATAAGATCTAAGAATATATAAACTTCAAGGCACACTCAAACTAGATTCTAGGAACCTTTGCCCTCTGTTCCTCCAATAGTTGCCAGAAAGTGCTGTAACCTGTAGAGCAGAATAGATAACTTAAATAAACACAGAATGTCAAAAGTGGAAAGTAATCCAGAGATCACCTAGGCCAATATATACCCTCTTTTCTGAGTTAGATTCTACTTCGTGGTCAGTCTTCTAAAAAACCCAACCCATACCACACACACACACAAAAAGACACACCTCTCCTAAAATAAACAGAAGTGGTCCTAGAGCTTTCCGCTGAAAAAATTCAGTGACCCATCCAAATGTCCCAGTTAATAAAGTGGCAAAGTTAATAAAACCAAAGTCCAGCGCCCCTTCAGCTAAACAGGGTGTCCTATATTGCACTAAGTCTTTTGGGACATCCTGGATAGCCCAGTGGCAGCTCCCTCCTCTATATAATCCCCGAGACCTTTGGCTTGAACTCTCCTGGTCTCGGTCTCATAACTTGTAAAAGAGGACCGGACGACGTGACCCACAGGGCCTCGCCCAGATCTGCTCCCAGTGCCCCGCACTGCCAGCTAAGGGGAACGTCCCTCCTGCTCCCTGGGTCTCAGTTTCCTTATCTGTAAAACGCTGATCCTGGGCCTATGTGGTCACCCTATAGGGACACCTAGAAAAGCCTCCCAAGGCCCGCAGGTCCCGAGCCCAAGCCGGAGGGGGTGGGGGTGGCCCGAGAGGGCCGGGGGAGTTCTCTGCGCGTCACTTCCTCTCGCCGGGCCTCAGTTTCTCCGGGCAGGCGGGCGCTACCTGTGCAGCGGCGGCAGGTCCTGCGCGTCGCTGGCCGGGTCGGGGGTGTTGGGGATGACGCCCAGGATGGTGCTCTGCAGCGACGTGCCCTTGAGCAGGCGGCTGCGCACCAGCTGCAGGTTGCGGGCCGAGTCCACGCTGGTGCGCATCGTGGAGCCGGGCAGCAGGACGCCCTCGTGGGTTAGCAGGAGGGGCAGCCGGCTTGGGATCTGGATTGCGCTCACGGACGACATGGCCGCGGCCAGCCGGCCCTCTCGGGGCCGCGATCCCGAGTCGGAGAGGCAACTGCGCGGGCGAGGCAAAGGTCGGAGTGGGGGACGGGTAGAGGTGGATCCGCGGACAGCTGCGGGCAGCCACAGCTGCTTCCGGCCCCGTGCTACGGGCCGCGGTATGGCTCAAGCCCGGCCGCTGCCGCCGCCCCTTCGCGCTGCCTGCCCCCTGCTGGGACTCCGAGGCCAGGGCAGCGCAGCGCTGCAGGCTGCAATCGCCGTAATTATCCTAATAGAAGAAGCGGAATTTCAGAATGCCCAAGCCGGGAGTGATCTTAGAGGTTATCCAGTCTAGCCACCTTCATTTTAAAGTGGAGAATAGTGAAACCCAGCAAGGGACTTGCCAAAGATTACACATATATTAATTGAATAATGGAATTGGATCTTGAAGCAAAGTGACTTGTCTAGCGTGTTTCCTACTGTGTCACGACTTAGTCAATAAACATTAAAAGCCTACTGTGTGCCAGTTTTGTGCTAAGCACTCTACATGCTAAGGAAGGCAAAAGACAGCCCCTGCTGTCAAGGAGCTCACAGCCTGCTAAGATAGACACAGCAGTGTGCTGGAGTCAGCTGTATTTTCAGTGTGAGCATTTACATCTCAGAAATTGGCAATCAACCACAATTCAAGACTTGTTTTATTGTTTTGTTGATTGGCTAGATTTAAGAAAGTATTAATGCAAATTATATTTAAAGATGGATGTACATTCATTTCCCCTCTCCCCTTGTTAATCATTTCCTAATACACCCCTCTATTGCTTGAACTAAGCAAGAATGAGTGCTTTATAAGGCTCAGGAAATGAAATCACCAAATTGGAGGCCAATAATAACAATAATGATACCTGACATTTATATATTGCTTTTGAGTTTGCAAAGTGCTTCATATCCATTATCTTTTGAGCCTCACAACAACCCTGGAGAAAAAACATGCAGACAACTATAGGCAGACCTCTGAGATAGTGTAGGTTTGGTTTTAAAACACCAATGCAAGAAAGCAAGTCACATAAATTTTTTTGTTTTCCCTTGCATTTACAAGTTATGTTTACACTATACTGTGGTCTATTAAGTGTACAATAGTATTATGTCTAAAAACAATGTACATACCTTAATTGAAAAATACTTTATTGCAAAAAAAAAAAGCTAACCATCATCTGAACCTTCAGTGAGTTGTAATCTTTTTTCTGGTGGAGGATTTTGCCTCCATGTAGATGGCTGCTGACTGATTAAGGTGGTGGTTACTGAAGGTGGCTGGGGCAATTTCTTAAAATAAGACAACAATAAAGTTTGCTGCATCGATTGATTCTTCCTTTCACTTGAACACTTAGAGGCCATTGTAGGGTTATTAATTGGCTTAATTTCAATGTTGTTGTGTCTCAGGGAATAGGGAAGCCTAAGAAGAGGGAGAGAGACCAGAGTGGCTGGTGGGGTGGAGCAGTCAGAATATACAACATTTATCAATTAAGTTCAAGGTCTTATATGGGAGTGATTTGTGGTACCCCAAAAGAACTACTATAGTAACATCAAAAATCATTGATCACAAATCACTATAACAGATAATAATGAAAAAGTTTGAAATATTGTGAATTACCAAAATGTCACACAGAGACAAGATGTGAGCACATGCTGTTGGAAAAATGACACCGATAGACTTGCACAGTTGCCACAAATCTTCAATTCATAAAAAAACCCAACAAACCAAAACCCACAATTATCTGCAAAGCCTAATAAAGAAAATACAATGAAATGAGGTACACTTGTACATACAAACAATATACACGGTATAAAATGGGGTAATCAACAGAGGGAAGGCACTAACATTAAAGGGGAGTGGAGAAGGCATTGTGTAGGAGGTGAAATTTTAGCTGGGACTTGAAGGAAGCCAATATGTGGAAGTAAAGAAGGAAAGAATTAAAAGCCTGGGAGAATGGACTTCATTAGATTTTATACCTGGGAGGGACCTTAAAGAACATCTAGTCCAGAGGTGGGGAACCTGCTGCCTTGAGGCCACATGTGGGCTTCTGGGTCCTCAAGTGTGGCCCTTTGATTGAATCCAAACTTCACCGAACAAACCCTCTCAATAAAAGGATTTGTTTTGTAAAACTTGGACTCAGTCAAAAGACCGTACCCAAGGACCTAGAAGGCCACATGTGGCCTTGAGTCTGCAGGTTCCTCACCCCTGATACCAGTCCAACCCCCTTCATTTTACAGAAGGGCAAACTGAGGTCTAGAGACAAGAAAGTGATTTGCCCAAGGTGACACAAGGTACTCCCTGTGCAGACCCAGGACTCAATTCCAGGTCCTCTGATTCTAAGCTCAAGGCTTTTAGGGGATGTTGGGTCTTGCAATATAAAGATCATTGGTAAAGGGGGTCAGAGTTTCATTCCTCCCTGCACTTATTCACTGTGTGACCTTGGACATGCTACCTTACTTCTCAGTTTCCCTTTTTGATAGATGAAGATAGTAATATTTGTACCACCTACCTCATGAGGCTGTTGAAAGAAAAATGCTTTATAAATCTTAAAGCACTATGTAGGTGAGATGTTACATCAAGCATCTAGTCTTTGACCCCTTCTCCCTCAAACCTCCGTCAATGAGAGAGAGGCATTACAAATCCAGGCCCTGGAAAGGGGAGACAGCCTGGCCATGGCAGAAGGGGAGACCTAAGCTTTACAGGTGCCCTGTGGGATTTGAGTGGGGAGCTATGGATATAAAGGTGAGTTTCAAGATATAAATTTGACTCCTAATTCTAGTGGTAGATTCTGAGTTAGGAAGAGGTGATGAGAACAAGGGAAACTACAAGATGATCCAGTTCCTCATTTTATAAGTAAGGAAGACAAGGCCCAGAGCCACAAAGGACTTGACAATGCTGGGATTAGAATTTAGGTCTGACTCCTGGTCCAAGGTGCTTTCCAAATTAAGCACAAGTTAATCCAGTTTTTTTCCCAAAGCAGCACCTGTCTGTACTGTTCACTTAGCTACATGTAAATCCACCCGCCTCTATACAAACTTTATATAAATTTATACATGAAATGCTACCCTTGTGATCCTTCTTTTTTGGTTTCCTATTATATAACCTTCAACTTTAAATCTAGAAATGGAACGAAGTCTCGTCCAACCCTTTTCACTTTTATGGCCTATAATAGGGCTCTGCACACAGTGGAATCTTAATGAATGTTGAATGAATGAATGATGAATGAATGAATGAATGAATGAATGAATGAAAGTGAGGAAAAGGAGCTGGCCCAGTTCCATATATCCCTATCCGGTTCCTTTCATTGTAAAGGCAACCAGACTATTGTTGGATTGGAACGGGGATACACTAAAGATTCCTCTCTGTCATTTCGGCATCTTTCATTCCAGGAAAGAAAAAATTGGCAGAACTGAGTGAAAATGCCCAGGAGAAGGAAAGACTGGGGTCCCAACCCCACTGGTGGCTCTGTAAACCTTGGAATGGACATGGAAGACAGCATGGTTTACGGCCTCACCTATGTAAGAATGCCCCGTTCCCTGTTCCCACACAGCAAGTAGCTTCTATGCATGGAGGGAATCCTGTAATTGGGTTACTTTTACCAAGGCTGGTCTGATTTATAGACTTTTTAAGCTAGAAGGGACCTAGAAGACCATCTAGCCCACCTCTTTATTTTTCAGATGGGGAAAGTGGGACTCAAAGAGGACAAGGTCACATGATCACAGAATCTAAGAGTTGGAAGGAATTTAACCCACCACTCCTTCTTCAATATCTCCAATAAACTCCTCTTTGAATATCTCCAGTGATAGGAAACATTCCTTCCAGAAGCAGCACATTCCATTTTATTTGTTAGGAAGATTTTCTCTTTATCAAGCCTAAATCTATTTCTCTTTTACCCACTCCCCTAGCTTGTTACTGTGAGATCAAAGGAAGCTATTCCTTTCATAAAAATTTCCGTGAGGGGCAGCTAGGTGGTGCAGTGGATAGAGCACCAGCCCTGAAGTGAGGAGGACCTGAACACTTGGCACTTACTAGCTGTGTGACCCTGGGCAAGTCACTTAACTCCGATTGCCTAAAAAAAAAATTTCCATGACTTTTCATGGTATCTAAAATGACATCATTAGTAGTTCATTCCTTTGGTTTACAATTGCTCTCTCTAGGCTCAGCTTTTAAAATGCAAATATTCCCAGAAGGAAAAAACCCATTAAAGTCCCAGTACCTTTGCAAGCCGGGCAGCTAGATTGTGCCATGGATAGAGTGCTGGGCCTGGAATCAGGAAGACTCCCTGGAATTCAAATCTGGCATCAGAATCTTATTAGCTATGTGACCCTGGGCAAGTCACTTAATCATGTTGCCTCAGTTTCCTTATCTGTGAAATGAGCTGGAGAAGGAAATGGCAAACCACTCCAAGAAAAGCCCAGATGGGGTCACAAAGAGTCAGACATAACACCACCCAACAGCAACAACTCTGAGTGTGTGAGTAGATCAGATCCTTTCCCCTGATAGGTGGGGAAGTTAAGGTAATAGAATGATAAGGCACTCAATGCTTATTAAAATGGATTGGATTGTTGCATATTAGAGTCTGCTTTGGAAGAGGCCTTAGATAATACTTAGAAATTGTTATTATCTAAGGCCTCTTCCTTTCCTAGAACTCTGAAAGTTTACAAAACACAATCGCCACAAAAAAACGTTCTGAAGCAGGTCTGTATTATACAGGATGGGCATGGTGATTTACCACAGTTATAAAATTAGCAAGTGTCAGGATGACTCAATCCAATGGCCTTTATACTAAGCCACATTACCTCATTGCAGAGTAAGATGTGGAGATGCTCATTGCATTTCCCCAGGACAGTTCTTATATGGGGAGAAGTGGGGTGGGAATGGCAGATGGGACTCACAGAAATGTATTCATAACTTTATACTCTTTTATTTTTCCCCCAAGAAAAAATTCACCCTTGGAGATAGTTATTGGAGCCCAGGGCCTCATGACAAGCCAGAAGCACAGAAGGCCTTCTCAGAAGGGAAATATCATGCCGCTTGGAGAACAATGATCCCAATTCGCACCAAATCAAAGTAAGTAGTTCGGTAGTAATAGGGTAGTTTCCATCAGTTTCCAATTCAATTTAATTCAGTAAATCTTCAAGTGTAAGAGTCCCTAGATTCTGGTACAATGGATCACTGAGAGCCCAAGGGAGATGAGGGAGGGAACAAACTAACAATTATTAAGTTCCTACTACGTGCCAAGCACTGTGCTAAGTGCTTTACAAATATCATCTAATTATCTCAGAGTTCAAACAATTAATTTGTTAAAAATATATTCAAATTTTGCCTAGTAAAAGCAGTTCCTAAAGAGATTAAAAGTAGTTCAGAAGATAGACTTTGAGCCCCTTGAGATCCTAGGGACTGTTTCTGTCTTTGTAGTTATCTTCTGTGCTTCGCCTATTGCCTGGAACATAGTAGATGCTTAATAAATGCTTATTAACTTGACTTGACTGAAAAGCAAATGAGAGCCAGCAAGAAGGTCAGAAGACATAGGTGAGGAGGTTCCCTGGGGTCTTGGGAGCTTTCCACCAAACTCCTAAATATTTTTAAAAGACATTGTCTTGTCCAAAGGGCCCATAGCTAAGTCCCATGGGGATCAATCCACAAAGGAGCAAAATTAGCCTAAAGTGCCCCAGGTCTGTACCATAACATCTTCTCTTGCAATAATCTTGGATGGTGGTATGGGGGAATGAACTCATGCTTCTCCAATTCCACAGTCGTATCCTGGCTCACAACAAAGTGCCTTCGATATCCAAAGCCCTGGGCAATGGCAGCACAAAGATGACATAAGGAATTGTTCTTGCAGTCAAAGAGCTTAGGAGAGCAAAGACAGGGACAGTTATCACCACAATACAAATCAGAATCTAAGTGCAAAGGAGAGGGGAAGGGTGTTGACTTTCTCAGATTCTTTCATCCATGACCAGATATCTGTCTGAAGCTCTGTAGCAGCTCTGGGTGCTGGCAGCACTATAGACCATGATCCTTCTAACCCTGTCACCTCCTCCCCACCCAACACTTCAATTTGCATAAACACTATATCACATAGATGTCCTGGAGAGTTCTGAGGTGAAAAGGGCCAGAATATGGAAAACTGTGGTTGTTTGAGTGGGTGAGTGCCAAAGCTAAAGGGAGTTCTAGAAAGGGACAAGTGAACTTATTCCATAAAGGTGGCACTTTATGACAAAGGCCACCTCACCCACTCCCTATATGTCCCCAAGAAAGAGATCCTAAGAGGAGACAACTACTTAGTGTGTATCATGGGGAAAAGAGCGGGAGAAGACTGAACAAGGGACACTTTTAATATTGTTTTTATTGCCTGAAAATGTAACACATTTAATAGCATTGGGGGATTACTAAAACTGTAGTTGTCATTGAATATTTTTGCCTCTCATGGATGGAACATCATAGGTGGGGGTGATTTTCAAGTGCAAAGGTGCTGAAGTTTCGAATCTTACTTAGATATACAAATGCTTTGTCTGGATCTGATCCCTATATTATTGTTTACTAAAAAAAATCCTATTTCAAAAGAGCTTTTCCTTACCTGGCAAAGAAGGAATACAATGTTTAGGTTTTTAGTCAAGAGATCAGGAAAGTCAGTTCAGTTTCTTCACCAAATATCTATCCAAAGTTCTGCTCCAGCCCTGGTCACCAGAACTCCCACAGAACTACAGGTCCTCCAACCTTCCTCCCATACCCCATGCTCTCCCATTGCATCATCACCATACATACTGGGAATTTTTGAAGATTTGGTGTGGAAAAGGCCACAGGTTGGAAAACTATGGTTACTTGAGTGGGTAGGCTCCAGAGACATAGGGAGTCTTTCAGAAAGGAACAGGCTGCTTTATGACAAAGGTTTATAAAAGCCCCTCTGGTCTTTCCTATAAAAGCAGAAGCACAGACTCTTTACATTTTTCATAATGAAAGGTCATCTGATACAACTGCTACTGGGAAATGAATTCCCTTTGCAGCCCTGGTGACAAGTCATCACGCCCTGTGCCTGAAGACCCCTAGTGATGGTACAACTCAGCCTTAGCTTTCCTTTAGCTTTCGAGGGTAAGATGAAGGCCTGATTAACAAGGCGATCCTGTTGCTTCTGACTTCTTCCACAGGTCCTCCACTTCTCATCCTGTGGATGACGCTGGCTTATTCTCCTACCTTACCAATTCGTGGCTAAACCATCTCATGATCCAGGGCTTCCAGAAACACCTAACTGAGCTCACTGTGCCTTCTCTGTCCATATATGACACCTCAGAAAGGAACTCTAAAAGGTAACAGTGACAATGGAAAACTCACCCTGTTGGCTGGAGTGGTTGGTGGGCAAGAGAACTCTGGGGTAGTAGATAGGGCATATTCCTCAAAGGCAAAAGAAGGAATCCTCCATCCTCTGGTTTAGAATACCTCTCTCAAGTATCATTCAGTAATCACTTCTGGAGCAGACATTTGACTAGAAGTCTGAACCAGTAGTCAGGAGATAAAGCCAAAGACATATTACTTAGCTTTATTCTGCCTCAGTTTCCTCCTTTGTAAAATGGGAATGGTATTATCCATTCCACCTACTGCATGGAAGACTATTATGGGAATGAAATAATTGTTGTGAAACTGTCTTGGAAAGTAAATTGAAGGCATTTATTCTACTTTTCTAATTTGATTTGATACATTGTATGCAGACAGTCTTTGATTGGGAAAATTTTGGTTTATAGGTACCATTCCAATGTCTTCCTTACCTGGTACCTTCCATGTCTAGGCCCCAAGTTTTCCATAATGACTCAAACTTAAAGCCTTTTGGAGATGCTTATTGTCAAAATAACCACTTATGACTTCAATCATTTAGAGCTGGGAAGTGTAAAGAGAATTCTGACAATGAACACAGTTTAACAACAGACTTCTTGGGTGTATCAACACTAACCTTGTAAAGCACTTAGCCCAGTGTCCTTCCTATGTGAATTTTAGCTAGTCATTTAAACTCCCCAAACTTAAATGCCCTCATCTGTAAAAAGGGCAATAAAAGTAGGTTGTATGGTATAGTGGATAGAGTGCTGGAGAAAGTCTAGGAAGTCTAGGAAGACCTAGGTTCAAACCCTACCTCAGACACCCACTAGCTGTGTGACTCTAAGCAAGTCATTTAACTTATCTAGGCCTTAGTTTCCTCATCTGTAAAATGACAGGTTGGACTCAATAAGCCCCTGAAATCTCTTTTAGGTTTAAATCTATGATCTTCTAATACTAGGCCTACCAAGATGTTATGAGGATCAAAGAGGATAATGAGTTTATTGGGCTATATGACTGTAAGAGACCATTATCTTACAGTAGTACTATTTTTTTTGGGGGGTGATACCTTCTGATCCTTTGCTTTCACGAGAGGGAGAAAAAAAATTGTCAGATAAGGGCAACTGTAGAAAAGAAGTTACAGAACTTGTTGTGGGGGAGTTTTGCAAATCATTTGATGTCTCTGGACAATGTAGACACAACCCCAGAACCTTGCTGCATCTGTAGTAGTGGCCTAGAAGTCCCCAGCCATATCCTTTGCGGACTTTAAAAACTCTGTAATAAGAATAAGAATACTCAAAACTTAATAGAATAATGATCTCATTGCTGTGGGTGTCTGAGGTGGGGTTTGAACGTAGGTCTTCCCAGACTCCAAGTCTAGCATGCTATCCACTAAACCATATAACCTACTTTTATGATTGCCCATTTTACAGATGAGGGCATTTAAGTTCAGGGAATCTGGGTGACTAGCTAAAATTCACATAGGAAGGAAGGAAACAAACATTTATTAGGCAGCTACTATGTGCCAGACACTGGGCTAAGTGTTTTACAAATATTATCTCATTTGATCCTCACAACCACCCTGGGAGGCAGATGCTATCATTATCCCCATTTTGCAGTTGAGGAAACTGAGGCAGACAGAGATTAAATAAGTACCTGAGGTTGGATTTGAAGTCAGGTCTTCCTGACTCTAAGCCCAGCTCTCTTGTGCCACCTAGTGGCTAACAAGAGGTAGAATTTGGACTTGAAACATGGTGATCTGACTTCACACCCAGGGCTCTTTTTTTCTGCTCTCCCACTGCCTCTCTAACGGACAGTGACCCTACCCACTCTAACAAGCTTGCAATGCCTGCAATGTTTGACTGCCCCTTAAATGCAAAGAATAAATGCATGGTGTATGGTTCTGTTTGAAGGCTTAGACACCTCTGGGAAGAAGAAGTTGCAAAATATGGTTATGAAAAAGCTTCTCTGATTCGTGTGCTCTTCAAGTTCCAGAGGACAAGAATTTTCTTTGATTTCTTGGCAGGCGTATTCTTCAATATTATGAGTGTCTTAGGACCAGTAAGTAATGGACTCCATCACATCTAAGGGGAGGACACAATGCAAAAACTGAGTGAGCAGGATTCATTTCAAAAGCAATGCCTTGGGGTTTCCCATAATCCATTTCTGAATCCTAAGAGAATCCATAGGGTGTTCTGAAGCCAGTCCAGGGCACCTGAGGTTTTTAACAATGTCTGGCCAATGAAGCAGCTTTAGAAACAATGTTAAGTCTCTTAGGGAAATATTTGTTTCTTTGGGAGTGTGAATAGTGCCTTGGTGTTGTCCAGAATAATTCCTCATGGTGCTCAGTATTACCTTAGGAGGATTCTCCACTTTTAGAGGATGACAATTTGAAGGATATCTACCATACTCTCTCATAAATAGTCCCTCAATATCACCACTGCAGGCACAATGGACTGGATGTACCACTGGTTTAAACCAGAAGTGGGGAACTTGTGACTTGGAGGCCACATGTGGCCTTCTAGGCCCTTCGTGTGGCCTTTTGACTAAGTCCAAGTTTTACAGAACAAATCCTTTTATTAAGGGCATTTGTTCTGTGAAGTTTGGATTCAGTCAAAGGGTAGTACTTGAGGACCTAGAGGGTCACATGTGGCCTTGAGGCTGCAGATTCCCCACTCCTGGTTTAAACCAAGAGTTATTAACATGAGGTCCACAGACCCCATTCCCTAAGGGTCTGTGAACTTGAATGGGAAAAAAAAATTACAGCTTGATTTTCACTAACCTCTAATTTTGAAATTTAGAATTTTCTGTAATTATGAATGTTTGCAACAAACATTATTCATAGGCTTCATCAGACTACTAATGATGTTTGTAACACACACACACACACACACACACACACACGCACATACACACACAAAAGGGTCTAAAGCAACCTGGCATTTCTGGTAGTTTTATTTACTTCCACAAACTGATATTTCAGAGGTGATGGAACTCAGGAAGATGGTGTATTGCAAGACCTTTGCTATACAGAATTCCTTTTTGTTCCTAGGTGGTAATTGTGCCAAAGATCCTTGAAAATGGTGCAGACGTATCAAAGAGTCTTTCCTATAGCATTGGACTCTGCTTTGCTCTTTTCTTCACTGAGTGTTTCAAGTCTTTCGGTTTCTGTGCATGTTGGATAATCAACCAGCGGACTGGGACCAGGTTGAGAACAGCCGCATGTTCATTGGCTTTTGAAAAGCTCATGGAATACCGGTCTTTAGCCCATATCTCTGTTGGAGAGGTAAGTATTTTTTACTACATTTCTTAGGATCATGGATCTAGAGCTTGAAGGGGCTTCATGGGACAACTAGTCCAACTTTCTCATTTTCTCGATGAGGAAGTTGAGGCTCCCAGAGCCTCCCAGAGCCAAATGCCCAAGGTTGCACAAATACTGTGCATCAGAAGTGAGATTTGAAGCCATATCCTCCAACTCCAGTACTCTTTGTCTGCCAATAAAAATCATGAGCACCTGAAAGTGTCCAGAGCTGCTCCACAGAGTTGGATTGTGGAGGCAAGATGTATCGTTGGTACATATGACGAAGTAGAATCTTAAGAGGAAAAACAAAGGGAATGGAGGAGAAGAGGAAGGGGGCAGGGAAGAAGGGAAGAAGGAAGAAGAGAGAAAGCCAAAGTAATTAAGTCTTGTGGTAAGGAGTAGAAACAGGCATTAAATAGCTATCTCAGGTGCCCATTTGATAATGCCAGTGTCATCACTATAATTTGTCTATGTCTACAAGATACCATTGGGGCTTATGGAGCTTGAATACACTTGATGTGAATCTAGCAAGCATCTTTTCTTCTCATCCTCCTTCTTTTCTTCCCCTGGCACTCAGTCAACGAGTAGTCAATAAACATTTATTCAGCATGGACTATATTCTAGGCACTGTGGTAAGCACTAAGTATTCAAAGAAAAACAAAAAACAGTCCCTGCTCTCAAGGAGCTCACAGTCTATTGGGGGAGGCAATACACAAACAACTATGTATAAACAAGCTGAATACAGGATAAATTGGAGGTAATCAACAGAGTGAAGGCAGTAAAAATAAGAGGGATCAGAAGAGTGTCTCCACTCTTGGAAGAGTTCTCCCCATGGCCCACCGTGGTTTCTATTAGTTTCTGGGCATGGAGGATGGACACACGTTCTTTTACGCTTGACTAAAAGTTAAAGGAGCTGGTCAGATACCTCCTGGTAGAGCCCAGAAGAGGACTCAGCTTAAATCTGCATTGATTTCCACAAACATGTTAACAAAGAAGAGGAATAGGAACTTTCCATAGCTAGAATCCTATTTCAGAACAGATTTCTTTTTTAAAAAACTTTTAATATAAATTTATTTATTTTTAGTTTTCAATATTTACTTCCACAAGATTTTGAGTTCCAAATTTTCACCCCATCTCAACCCTCCCCCACCCCAAGATGGCATTCATTCTGCATATTCCTTCCCCTAGTCTGTCCTCTCTTCTATCTCTCTCCCCCTTCTCTTATCCCCTTCCCCTTCTATTTTCCTGTAGGGCAGGAGAGACTTCTGTACCCCATTTCCTGGATTTCTTATTCCCCAGTACCATGTGAAAACATTTTTAAAAACATATATTTTTAAAACTTTAGGTTTCAAATTTTCTCCTTCCTCCCTCCCCACCCACCCTCATTGAAAAGGCAAGAAACTCAATATAGGTTGTACATGTGCAGTTATGCAAAACACTTCCATAGTAGACATGTTGTGAAAAACTAACTCTATTTCCCTTACTCCTATCCTGCCCTCCCATTTATTCTATTCTTTCTTTTGACCCTGTCCCTCCTCAGAAGTATTTACTTCTGATTACCCCTTTCCCAATCTGCCCTCCTCTCTATCATCCCCCTGCTCTCTTGTCCCCTTCTCCCCCTATTTTCCTGTAGGGTAAGACAGATTTCCATACCCAATTGAATGTGTATGTTATTCCCTCCTTAAGCCAAATCCTATGAGAATAAGATTCCCTCATTCCCTCTCACCTTCCCCGTTTCCCCTCCACTGTAAGAAGCTTTTCTTTTCTGTTTTTTTGTGAGATAATTTACCCCATTCTACCTCTCCCTTTCTTCTTCTCTAGTATAATCCTCTCTCATCCCTTAATTTTATTCTCCAGATATGACCCCTTAATCTTCAACTCACCCTGTGCCCTCTATCTATCTATATATCTATCTACATACATATAATTTTTTCCTTCAACTACCTAATACTGACAAAGGTCTCATGAGTTATAAATATCATCTTTCCATGCAGGAATGTAAACAGTTCAACTAATAAGTCTCTTATGATTTCTCTTTCCTGTTTACCTCTTCATGTTCCACTTAGTCTGTATTTGAAAGTCAAATTTCTATTCAGCTCTGGTCTTTTCATCAAGAATGCTTGAAAGTCCTCTATTTCACTGAATGACCATTTTTTCCCCTGAAGGATTATACTCAGTTTTGCTGGGTAGGTGATTCTTGGTTGTAATCCTATCTCCTTTGCCCTCTGGAATATTATATTCCATGCCCTGTGGTCCTTTAATGTAGAAGCTGCTAAATCTTGTGTTATCCTGATTGTGTTTCCACAATACTTGAATTGTTTCCTTCTGGCAGCTTGTAATATTTTCTCCTTGACCTGGGAACTCTGGAATTTGGCTATCAATATTCCTAGGAGTTTTCCTTTGGGGATCTCTTTCAGGAGGAGATCTGTGGATTCTTTCAATTTCTATTTTGCCCTCTGGTTCTAATATATCAGGGCAGTTTTCCTTGATAATTTCTTGAAAGATGATGTCTAGGCTCTTTTTTTGATCATGGCTTTCAGATAGTCCAATAATTTTTAAATTCTCTCTCCTGGATCTATTTTCCAGGTCAGTTGTTTTTCCAATGAGATATTTCACATTGTTTCTATTTTTCATTCTTTTGGATTTGTTTTACAGTGTCCTGATTTCTCATAAAGTCACTATCTTCCAATTGCTCTATTCTAATTTTTAAGGAAGTATTTTCTTCAGTAAGCTTTTGGACTTCCTTTTCCATTTGGCCAATTTTTCTTTTTAGGGCATTCTTCTCCTCATTGGCTTTTTGGACCTCTTTTGCCATTTGGGTTAGGCTATTTTTTAAGGTGTTATTTTCTTCAGTATTTTTTTGGGTCTCCTTTAGCAAGCTGTTGACTTGTTTTTCATGATTTTCTTGCATCTTCATTTCTCTTCCCAGTTTTTCCTCTACTTCTCTTACCTGCTTCTCAAAATTCCTTTTGAGCTCTTCCAAGGCCTGGGACTGATTCATATTTTTCTTGGAGGCTTTGGATGTAGGAGCTTTGACTTTGTTGTCTTCTTCTGGTTGTATATTTTGATCTTCTTTTTCACCAAAGTAAGATAATATAGTCTGACTCTTTTTGTGCTGCTTGCTCATGATCCTGGCCAATTACTTGAGTTTTAAACTCTTTGTTAAGGTAAGAGTCTGCTTCCAATGTGGAGAATGTACTATCCCAAGGTTCGGGGGTTTGTACAGCTGTTTTCAGAGGTACTTGTAGGGACCTGTAAATTTTCAGTTCTTCCAAGGTGGTATGTTATGAGGCGAGGTATTTACTCCTTTCTTGGCCTGTGCTGTGGTCTATTAGTGACCACAAGCACTCCTTTCTTTCCTGGAACTGTGAGGAGGGTTTCCTATCCACAGCCATTACAAGCTCCACCCAGCCAGCCCTCCTCCTCACCCCAGGACTGCTACCCAGAACTGTGACCCAGATCCAAGCATGGGAAAAGCAAGAGATCCCTGCAATTCCCCTCTGATCAGCCACTCAATTCCCCCTCAGTATGTGGGCCAGAAGCTCAGGAGGCAGCTGCCCCACCAGGGCTGCGCTCTCAGGGAACTGGAGCTGAGACCCCACGTTCCTCTCTCAGCACTGCAGAAACAGATTTTCCTCACTGACCTTTTAAGTTGTCTTTGGCATTTGTGGATTGAGGAGTCTGGAAACTGCCACAGCTGTCCAGGATTCAGAACTCTGAGGCCTGCTTCAGGTTCACTGTGGCCTGCGTGCCCACGCCACGCTGCACTCTTCTCCCCACCCAGAGTGACATACCTTTTAGATCAATCATCCAGATTGTCTTGGGCTGGAAATTTGTTTCACTCAGTCTTTTTGTGGGTTCTGTTGCTTTAGAATTTGTTTAGAGCCATTTTTATGGGTTATTTGGGGGGGTTTGGGGGTAGAGCTCAAGCAAGTCACTGCTTTCACCCCGCCATCTTGGCTCCACCCCTGGCAAGTTGCTCCGCTCCGGCAAGTTCCAGAATAGATTTCTGAAAGTCCTTTAAATTGTTAGAGCCTGAGTCCATGGCCCATCATAGAAACACAAGAACAACCAGGGTGGTCCTAAAATAAATTGGAAGCATGACTTAAAAAGATTTAGGTAGTGGCTCTAAAAGAAAACAGTTCATTCCATAAGCAATTATTGAGTGCCAACCATGTAACAGCACTGAGTGAAAAATAGTTGGTGGGTATGTCAGTGGGATCAGGAGAAGACACAAAGTAAGTACAAGACATGGTCCCTGCCCACAGAAAAATATATAGTATATTTGGGGAAACAGCAGTGGTTTTATGGAAAGAATGCTGTACCTGGGAGTCAGAAAACCTTCCTTTAAGTCCTGAGTGTAAGCTTTTTGAAGGCAGGGACTGTCTTTTGACTCTTTTTGTATCCCCAAGCTTTGCACATTGCCTGGTACATAGTAAGGGCTTTATAAATGTTTATGAATTGACTGACTCTATCATTTATTTACTGTGCAAGTCACTTAACCCCAATTGCCTAAAAGCAAAAAAACAAAATTCCGAAAGAGTAGAAATAGGAACTCTAAATCACATAAAATTCTAGTTCTAATAAGTGTAAGGATGGCAGTAACAAAACATAGCAACATAAATTTAAAATCCATACATATATGGACATAATCAATATCTGTTACTGTGTAAAAGTGACAACAAACAAAACAGGTATTACGCAAGTGAAACACTTTGAGACTCATCTCAGGTAAACACATGAGCAGCAAAGGTGATTGACAGGTTTAATACAGGCCATATATGTAATAGCCAAGGAATACAAAATAAGGGGGAAATCCTTATGGGTTGAATTGATCAGGAAATACTTTTGGAGATGTTATGAGCTTGGTATTGAAGATTGGGGAGGCTAAGGAAAGAGGAAGAGGGAAAGGGGAGAGTACTTGGAAAGGGGAGAGTACTTGAAACAGGTATGAATGGAGGCATAAAAGAGGGCATCAGAAGAACTAGAGACAGGTAAGATGAGGAGGTTAGCTTGGTCAGAGCAGCAGTGGCGGAGATAAGTTTCGGGCTAGTGGGTACTAATTACAGAAGAGAAGGAAGCCAACTGGTAACCTGAGGGGTCTCAGGGACAGTTGATCTAATGGGTAGTTTTAAAAGTAGCCACTGCAGGTCTTTGAACTAGGGAATGACATAATAAAAAAGTCTTTTCTTTCTGGATTCTATTTTTGCTCATTCCTTGTACCTGTAGGGAAATATGAGTGTGTTTCTTCTAGGTTTATGCTGGAACTGAAGGAAAAAAAGACCTTGTGGCAAAAAGAACCTTTTTTTTTTCTTTACCCCTGGAAGATTTAAGAAGTCCCTTCTGTCCTCCAATAGAGAGAATTGCATCCCTTGCTCGGTACGTTCATGGACTCCCGTACATGCATGTATTCTTATATTGCAGGCCCTTAGCTTTTTTGCCAGTGACGTCAATCACCTGTTTGAAGGGGCTTGCTTTGGTCCTCTGCTTACCCTCACATTGGGAACAATAATTATTGCTTCTGTTTCCACTTACCTCACTCTTGGTCCTACTGCGCTTCTAGGAATCACCTGCTACCTCCTGGTGTTTCCCCTGCAGGTAATGTACTTTCTTTTAAACCACTCTGTGTTGCACTGTCTCACTAGGGCATCTCTTGGAGCCCTGGCACCCTAGATACATTTTGGTGGGAAACGTTTCCTGACTACTGTATTTCAGTATAATTGAGATTTCATTTTATCCAACAAAACTTAGCATGGGGCCTTGTAAGGAACAGACGTTTGTTGAGTGCCTGCTAAATCGAATTCTGTTAATGAGAAATAGTGAGCTGTAGGGAGCATAGTCCTTGACTTACAGTTATAAGACATGGGTTCAAATACCAGTACTGCCACTTCTGTAATATGGGGACACCATCAGTTGTCGTTGCTGCTTCACAAGGTTGTTATAAAGATCATAAGAGGAAAGATGTATGAAGTATTTTGTAACTGTGAAATTCTATGTAAAGTAAGCATAAAGATATTTTAATTTTGACCACACTCAGTTGTAGCCTACATGGAATGATAATGCCTCTGTCCTACTTGACTCATTCATATTCACCCTCATCTTCAGGTGACACAGGAGATATGTTTGGATATTTCTTTATTAATTATTAAAACTGTAAACTCATTTTTATTCACTGAACAGTTATCTCTGAGTCTCCTACTCCAGTTTATTAAATATTACTTATTTAATTAACTAGAGAAATCTTGATGTAGTGGATAGGGTACTGTAACTGGAAGCAAGAAGATTTGGCTTCAAATTCCACTTCAGATGCTTATTAGCTCTGTAACCCTGGGTAAGTCACTTAACCTCTCTGGGCCTCAGTCTCCTTATCTGTAAAATGAGGGTATTGGACTAGATGGCCTCTAAGATCTCCTCCAGCTCCAAAACCTATCAACTTCTTTTTTTACTAACAATTGTTCACATCTCCTCATATATCAAAACTCCTAATAGTCTAGGTTTAAATAAATGTCAGGTACTGACTATATAATTTATTAGGTTAACAAAGAATAACACAAAGACAAATAATTATTTGTGATATTTTATCAATAAGAAGATAAGAGTCTATGGTCCCCCTAGCACAATAATGTCTACTTTTGATTTCTTCTTACTTCTGAAACAGTCCCATCATTCAGCGTCATTAGATAGCAGCTAAAGTCTCTCAAGAAACCTTATTTATTCATAAAATATAAAATTTATCCAAAAGATATAAAAATTGAACTCCATCCTCTTAGAGAATATGGTTTTTCTCTGTCTTCTCACAGTTTTTCTCCAGTCATAAAAGGAAAACAGTGTCTTTACAAATGTCAGTTAAAAATCATTTGCTTTTCAAATGATGGTTAAAAATCAGCCTCTTTACAAATAATGAGTACGCCCCATCTGCTCATAAACTTTTCATAAATAAAAGTTAGAACTTGCATACTTACCAATGATTCCTTAGAAAGTAGCAGTTAATTTGTCATTCTTCAAGATTCTAAAACCTCCTAAAGACATAATAACAGAGGCTACTGAAGCTAGTATTATATCTGAAAGGATAAAATTCACTATATCTTAACAGGTAAGAAATATGTGGTTGATGATATGAAAGCCATTTTCCAAATCATACATTTGTGTGAAGTACCATCATGAGTATTTATAGCAAAGTAAACAATAAATTAGAAAAGATAGGACACTGCATGAAAGTTTAATACTCCCGAATGACCCATTTAACCAAGCTAGTGATGCTGGAAAAAAAAAAAGGGAAATGGACATGGGAGAAGACATTGATTCTGATATTACAATTTCCTACAGAAGTTTATTAACTGATGTAAACAGTTACCGCAATCAGGATCCCAAAAGACCCTAGACACTACCTCACTCATCAATCACTTGGCCTTATTACTAAGTGCAGCCCAGGACAACACCAGTTAAAAATATAAACCTGTTTGTAAAATGTTACACGAAAGGATGAAAGATTATGAAAAGTAACACTTAAAAAGAGCAGTGAAAAACAGAATCTGTAGAAAGCCTGATGTGAGAGCCAATTAAACCAGATCATTCCAAGTACTTTTTCCAACTAAAATTGGAAAGAGAACAAATAATTTTAACAAATTTGCCGGAAGTGATCTATAGAGAACTATTCTTATCTTTAAGGATAACAGAACACACACCATAACTCAGTACCCTAAAGAGGAACCTGGAATTTAGAATTACTAAACTTGATTCTCCCAATGCAGTCAGTTTAGGGTTCTAAATCAAGTTCAGGAATTTCTCTTCAGGAATAGCTTTGACTATCCCTATGCATAGGACAAAACTCTCTACCTTGCTTTAAAAATTTGCTTTATTAGTGATTTCTGAACAATATCATTCCATCCCAATTGCAGGGGTTTTTGACCAAGATTATTGTAAGGCTATGCCATCAGGCTTCTGAGGTCAGTGATAAGCGAATCCGAATCACAAGTGAAGTTCTCACCTGTATCAAGCTGATTAAAATGTACTCTTGGGAAAAACCGTTTTCAGCCATCATTAAAGGTATGAAAAGGCCATGTTTTCATATAGAGCCTTCTAATGTCAATCTTGTTTCAATCTTAGATCCTTCAGAGTTACTCGAACTTCTACCTGGAAAACTGTTGGGATCATTATGCATTTGTCTTTTTTTTTTTTGTCTTTAAGCTTTAAGAAGTAAGGAGCAGAAATTATTGGAAAAATTTGGATTCCTTCAGAGTCTCAATACTGCCATGTTTTTCGCTATGCCAACTGTAGCTACTGTTGTGATGTTCCTTGTCCACACGGCGTTAAAGCTAGAGCTCACTACATCACTAGTAAGTGTTCTGAATATATTTCTTTTCCCCCCCTTCTTAGTCATGACATCAGTGAGGAATCACATTTCCTTATGTTTCTTCTCTGATCTTGGCCCTCAGATTTCACAAGCAGAAAATGTAGCCTCATGTTGTCTTTATTCAAACTTTTAGGGTTTTTTCCTAGTGAGTGTGTATATGAAATGACTGTGAGTGTCTGTGTGTGTGTGTGTGTGTGTGTGTGTGTGTGTGTGTGTGTGAGTATGCTTGGTGTATAGGGTATTGGTAAAGGGATTCAAAACTGTGTTTTCATTAGTAAAGGGGATTTTTGGTTGTGTAAATTCCTGCCAGTGATGGATATCAGCAAGCTATCTATAACTCAGTCTCAGAGAGTTGCCTAGTACACTGAGAGTTAAATCAGTCAGTCAGTCAGTGAGTCAATGAATAAAGTATTTATTAAATGCCTATTATGTGCCAGGCACTGTGCTAAGCATTGGAAATACAAATAAGAAAAAGAAAGACAGCCGTTGCCCTTAAGGAGTTTATAATCCAGTGGGGGAAGATAATGTGCAAAAGGAAGTTGAATGGGGGGCTGGGAAGAAGGTAGCAAGGTTGAATCTAATTCAAGGAGTGTGGAAATGAAAAGTTGACTCATTTGGGAACCCCTCTTTAAATAGAGGCTTTGAGGTGAGTATTTTGCTCCATCCTCCAGGCCTCCAATCAGGCTGAGGGTAAGAGATGTAAATACCAAAACTGATACAATCTCACTGGAGGAGATTTCTGGGGATGATGAGATTTCCTGGGAGCCACAATCATGATGGAGTCCAGTCCAAAGAATGCAGCTGGTGGGAAATGAGTTAAATAAATGTGGTCAAGTAGCTAGTATGTGTGAGGGATGAGATTAGAACCTAGCTTTTCCTGACTCCAAGGCTAGCCCTCTATCTGCTCTGGCATTGCTGGTCTCTCTGCCTTTAATCCGTGCCTTTCCCAATGCATCCTCCACTTGGCCACCACACATATATTCCTAAAGTGCAGATCCAACCATGTCACCCACCACTCATGGCTCCTTTATTGCCTCCATGATACAATATAAACTCTTCTCGTTCTTCCTAAGCTCCTCATAATTTGGTTTCAAATTATACTTCTTGATTAATTTCTCATTACTTTCTCTATGTTCCAGCCAAATTTCTGTTCCCTGTATTGCTTCAGGGCCTTTGCAGAGGCACTGGCTGTTGTTTGTGAGAATAGACCCCTAAATCTAAAAGAGTTTTAGAAGGCAATTTATTAGGTCATTTGGTAGAGGAGAGCAAGCTGGAAAGGAGGTGTGGCTTCCCTCCTCCAGGGTCTGGTAGGTTTATGTCACGCAGGATTTTGACAAAGGTTTCTGCCCAAGAGTCACACACAAATCATTTGATAAAGATATAGCACATAGTCATCCAAAGGGAGCACAAAACACAATCGTGGGTAGACCCTAAACAAGTCTTGGGCATGGAGACTCCAAACAAGAATGTTTTGGGTAGATCCAGGACCTGGGAGAACCCAAAATACCTTGTAGCCATCTCCAGCATTCCTAGACAGTTACTGGGATCAGGAGACATTCTGGGTGCAGGTCATATCAAGTTGGATTTAAACAGTATAATGATTTTTCCAAACAATGTAATGAATCATTTTTTTTCTACAACTTCCTCCTTTGGACTTTTTCCAAGCCCGATATTTTCGTAGTAGTGAAAGCATAATTACAGAAGTAAAAAGCTGAGTTTTCAAAGGGAGTTCATAAAAACAAACTGAATCAATGGAATCATCCTCCTTATTATCTATCTTGTCTAAAGCTTGATTTAAATCATTTAAGCGGGATAGGGACCAGATTGTTGACAAAATTTCCCCAATGTCTTATACTCAGAGGGGTCAATTCCAGTAAGTCAGAGGTTTTAAGTCAAGGAATGTAAACTTACAATCAAGAAACAGGTGCATTGTGGACAGGAATATCACCAAAAAATCACAAACCTATATTTCTTTCAATGTCATAAAAGCTGAACAAACTTAGTTAAGTAGAGTCATAATCTTATATATCCCTTAAAGAGACAAACCTTGTTAACCAGACTCTATATGTAAACTAGGTCAGGTTACAGATTAAACTACTTAGAGGGCTCACAATGGACTGATTGAGAGGGAAGATTTATATATCACCAAGGTAATTAGGGTTAGGGAAATCCTCTCTTATATAGTTAACTAGGGTAATAACTAAATCATTTTGGGGAGGTTCAAACTTCCTTTTGGCTTCCACCTGAGGAATGTCTAACAGTTAAGTCAGATTTTGATCAGGTGAGGTTAATAAAAACAGAAAATAGATTTCAGCTAACCAAAATTTGCAGGAAGAATGGCTCTGCTCCTTGAACAATAAATACAAGGAATTAGGGAATACCTCTCTTCCAGGCAAACATCAGCACCATGAAACAAAAAAGCCAATATGATACAATAATGATTATCAGTGCTAAATAACATTAAGTTTCCTTGTAACCACCCCCAATGTCCATTTAATCAGCGCATTTCATCTTGAGTCCCAGCTGTCATATGTAGTCATCTGATTCCCAGAAACAGTTTCCCTTGGAAATTCTGGAATAGTCTTTGCTCTCAGGACAGCTCTGGAGGAAGCTCCTTCTAGGAGATCCACTTCTCTGGTTTCAAGACACTTACACAGATTCTCTAGATAATTCTGCTGAAATCTGCCAGTAACAAGACTAGATACAATTTAGTACAGCTTCCTAAATCTGGTTTTCCAATAACTTGTTCATGTGGTGAAAACCAACTCAAACCTTATGGAGCTAATTCTATTATAAGAAGAACATCAAATTAGGGACTCATAATTCACCTGAAACTTCAGAGAATTTCAGTTTTTACATACCACTTGCTCTTTTTATCTTTACTTAACCTCTATATCTGATATGGAAAGTGCTATCAACAGGCTAAGGAAGAATTTTAAAAAAGGATCCATGAAGGTCTGACTTGTAAAATATACCCTTTTGTCTTTTAATATTATCAGACAGAAACTTCAAAATAGGGAAAAATATGATTTAAAAATTCTTTACAATTATTAATGCAATTTTATATGTAAAATCCTTAATTCAGTTTTGCAAATTTATTACTAAAGCATACTCAAGGTCTGTATATCCTGTTAGAAACATTTGAAAGCCAATCATATATATCCTAGTTCTTAGACTTCTAACAGTCTTTGTTACTTTCTCAAAGTTTACTATTTCACTAAATTTAAAAACTTTTACATTTTTATCCTATCTCCTTCTTTTGAGGATATATATTATCTTCATATAATTCCAAAAGGATGAGATACCTAATCTTATACACAAATATCTAACTATTTGCAAGGGGATGGCAAGCCTAAGAGCTAATTTAACCTAGTTGCTTAGTGTATGGAGCTGATGACAAATTCAGATTAAAAACAGAAAGATTTTTCATACTTGCATCCTATTAGAGTAACTCAGAGATGTTTTAGTATTAATCTACTGATGAATAGATTTAGCATTGCAACAACAAAAACTTCCTCAATTCACCTGCCCTGATTATAGAAGTTTGCTAAGAAAGAAAAAAAGGAGGGAAATGGTTATGACAATGTCAAGACTGTCTCTTCAAAGGCTCAGACTGTCCTGACATAAGCCATAACAAGGCAAAAAACATCTCTGTTTGATTCTGGGTAAGAGTCATAGTTAACAAGCTAAATGGAGGAGACAACATACAAAAAATATGTGCAAAACAAGCTATATATAAACAAGATAAATCAGAGATAATTAACAGAGGGAAGGCACTGGAATTAAAAGGGCTTGAGGAAGGTTTTATGTAGATGGTGGGATTTTAACTGAGATTTAAAGGAAGCGAGGGAGGCCAGTAGTCAGAATGGAGGAAGGAGAGTATTCCAAGCTTGGGGGACAGCCAGAGAAAATGCCTGGAGTTGGGAGACTGTCTTGTTCATGGAACAGCCAGGAGATATATAGAAACTCCAATTTAAAACTAGTGTGGCCTATCTATCCTTGCCTCCTCATTAGAATGAAGTGTGGTATAAACCAAAAACCCTAAGGCAGTTAAAATGTGAGGACTTATTGATAGATTGGCTTGGAGGGGTGGGGATTCCTTTTAGTGAGGGAAGTGAAGGCATGGAAACAAGCCAAGAAGAATTTTCTCCAATAGCCGTTCTGGGTCCCCCTTGTTTAGGGCTTTCCTCCACCTCAGGATCATTTTATATTTACTTAGTTGTATGCATGTTCTCTCTCTCTCTCGTTTTCTCTCTCTCTCTCTCTCTCTCTCTCTCTCTCTCTCTCTCTCTCTCTCTCTCTCTCTCTCTCTCTCTCTCCTCCCCCCTTGAGCTTTTAGAACAGTGACTGGCCTATAACAGGCACTTAATTGCTTGTTAAATTGAATTAGAGATGGGATAGGTCTGGGGTGGGGAACCTGTGGCCTGGAAGCCACATGTCACCTTCTAGGTCCTCGGGTGCAGCCTTTTGACTGAGTCCAAGTTTTAAAGAACAAATCCTTTTACTAAAGGGATTTGTTCTGTGAAGTTTGGATTCAGTCAAAGGGCTGCACTTGAGGACCAAGAGCCACATGTGGTCTCAAGGCTTTAGGTTCCCCACCCCTGGTAGCACCTAGGATGACCACACGACTATACACTGAAAAAGCCAGAAGAGGCTTATAGACAGAGACCAAATGGGGTGTTCACAAAAGAAAGAGTAAAAGAGGATGGTGGATGAATAATGTCATCTTGGCAAGGGCTGAGCAGGATGTGGATTTACAGTGGCTGAGACCATTTTCCCAAAAGGGAGTCAAGCCAAAATCAACACCAAATCAACACAACATCAACAAGCAAAGTCAACAAGGATGTCTTGGTCATTTGTTTACTATGTGCCCATTGCAATGGGAGATAAGAAAAGAATTCTAAGGCAGAGTGTCTTTCCTTGAGGGACTGACTGATTGTATAGATTAGACAAACATACACCAACTAATTAGAGAATAATATAAGACTAAATTTATAATTAAAGGCTAGATTATATGTTTCAGAATATAAGTGATGTAGGAGTTCAGAGTAAAAATAGGGAAGTGGAGGGTGAACTAGATTATTCCTAAGGTCCCTTCCAGCTCTAACATCTTTGATTCTTAGGTGGGTTGAAGTTGATCGGGGAAGACTTACTGGACAAGGTGGTTTTTGAGTTGGCTTTGAAGAATGGGATTTGGAAAAGCAAAGAGGAGGGAGGAAGGCATTTGAAACAAAGGGGAAATGATGAGAGTAATGTTTTAGAACAGATTAAGACCAGTAACAGTTTGGGTGTCCTAGGCCAGCACCACAGAGAGACTAAGATGGGAGAACATTGCCTTCCCCCCCCATCCTTCCCTTTACCCTCACATCCTCCCTAATATTCTAAGGCAACTGCTAGGGAGGCCCACCACTAGGGAATGGTATAGGGAATGGGTTAAGGACAGGCCAGAGAACACCTCACCTGGAGGGAAGCACACCATCTGGTACCTTTCTATTTTAACTAATTGTTCTTGCTAACTGGGTACTAAGAAGAGGTGTAGTGCCATGCCAATCTAAATTTTGACACCCTGGACCAAAGTCTTAGTTACTCTACCCTATTTGCAGATCTACAAAAATGAAAGAAATTGGATAGAGTTATCCCAATAGCAGTATCCCCACCCCAGCACTGTGAAGTGACCCAACATAGCAATATAGACCAGCAAGGCTGTACTTTGTGCCTATATAACAAGGAATGCTAAAAACAAAACAAAACAAACAAACAAACAAACAAAACCAACCTTTTTCCCCCTCCCTTTTCTTCTCTAGGCATTCACTATTGTGGCTACATTGAATGTACTGAAGTTATCTGTGTTCTTTGTGCCTTTTTCTCTCAAAGGGCTTACAAATTCACACTCAGCTGCATGGAGATTGAAGGTAAACTTTGTATTGTTAGTCATCTTGGCACGCCATTTAGCAGTGCCTTTATCAACAATGACATCTTTTGAATGTACTCTGCCCTTAACATGTGTAATGTATCCAATTTGAATTCTTCAGGATGTTCAGAGAAGGTAGTCTGTGTAGCGTGGTATCAAAACAAGCATTTCCTAGTCTTCCCACTGGTAAAGATGAGCCAAACTTGATTAATTCTGACTCCACTAGGACATTATAGTGATTTTTCAAAAAGAAATGAGTCAATGTAACATGCTAGCGGATGTAATAGAAGGTCCACTAGTACAGGTATCAGGAGACTTGGATTCTAATCCCAGTGTGATCACTGACTGGCTGTGTGACAATGAGCAAATTACTGCCCCTTTCTGGACCTCAGTGTCATCTGAAAAATGAAGGGCTTAGATTAGATGATCTCTGAGGTTCCTTGCTGTACTAAAATCCTATGATTTTGCTCTCTGTCAAAGTTTAATCTCAGCATTATATGCAAAAAAAAAGCATTTGTTCATTATTAAATAATATAAATAGAACTTTAGAGGGAATATTTAAGATTCCAAAAGTTAACTTTTAATCACTTGGAAAGCTACTTTAATACTCATTCATATGGCAAAATAGGTGTACTAATTACATATTCTTACATATTCATTAAATTAGATCCAACAGCACCTCCACTTGGCTTTAGGAATCTCTTTATCTCTATCCATATATAGGATATATTCGTATGTATTCCTATGTATGTTTATGTTCATATATATCTCTATATCTCTATATCTATAGCTATGTACATCTTTGACATGTATAGGGACTAGATCTGTTGAATTAATTTGTATCATGAACTTTGACTTTAGGGGAGGAAATTCCCTCTACCACTTTAGGTCAGCACCTTTTCTGCAACTTTTTGCTATTTTCTCTAATTTGTCTACATTAGTGAGTTTTTAAGGTTCACTGAAGCTGTATTAGTGAGATCCCTGTCCATTCTGAAATGATTTTTTTCTTTTTTTTCCTTTCAAGAATTTTTTCCTGAGGGAATGCCCTGCATTTTATGTCCAGGAACTGAAAGGCTCTGCTGCATTGGTCTTGGACAATGCCACCTTATCTTGGGAATGGAATGATGGTGGGATCTGCAATGGAGCTGTGGAGATGAATGGGAATGGGGACTGCCCTGACAAATCTGCTGTAGGACCATCTCAAGGGAAGAATCAGCCAACTCGGAGGCTCAGCCAACTTGGAGAAAGAATGACCAGCATAGGTCCGGTGTTGCACAATATAAGCATTGTGGTACCAAAGGTAAAGTCACACGTTGCCCACATGGCAAAATAAATGCCACCTAAGAATCGGAAGTCATACAGCAGGAAGGAACGGAGAGATTAACTAGATTCTAGACCAACCTCTCTTATTACTCAGGATAAAACTGAGGCCAGAAGGGTGGAAGGAACTTGCCTAAGGTTACACAGCAATTTAGTAGCAAAACCAGAATGACAAGTCAGGTCTCCCGACTCTGAGGTCAGGACTATCATGCCATCTTGAAGACTAATCAGGCACAGTCTTGGACTGGCAGCAGCAAATAGGTAACTCAGTGTCTAGAGTGCTAGACCTAGACTGAGGAGGACTTCAGTTCAAATTTGGCCTAAGACACTTCCTAGATGTGTAATCCCAGGCAAGTCACTTAACCGCTATTTGCCTCAGTTTCCTCAACTGTAAAATGGGGATAATAGTAGCACCTACCTCTCAGAATTGGCAATCATGTGAAATAATATTTGTAAGTGCTTAGTACAGTGCCTAGCATATAGTAGGTGCTTAATACATGCTTGTTTCCTTCTTCCCTTACAATAGATGCTTCATACATGTTTGTTTCCTTTTTCCCTTGCTGGTACTTGCAGAGTGCAGAATTGGCCACTAGATGTTTGGAATACAAAGAACAGGAAGAAAATGAGCATTGGATGTAGTTAGAAGGCCTCAGTTTGAGCCCCAGCTCTCTCACAAAGTTGTACCAGGACTCCACTTTGCTCATCTGTAGGATCTTTCCTCAGAACCCTTGCAGTTCTAAATCTTATGACAAACTGTGAAGGCAGAGTTTCTGCCTAGGCAGAAACAATGGCAGAGTAGACATTTGGAGTGATTATGTCACTTACAGTGACATTTAGAGTGATTTTAGGGGCTTTAGGAGGGTTCTATTCCCCCAAATATCAGGCCCTCTGATCTAGTTCTGTTAACTAAAATTCCACCACTTGGGAAAATCCCATTGGGTGTGTCACCACCTCCTCTACTTCCTTGGGCAGAGTGATACAATGGAAACATTACTGGATTGGGATCAGAGGACCTCAGTTCAAATTCCAGTTTGGCCACTTATAGTCAGTTAGTCAACTAGCATTTGTAAGGTGTCTGCTATGTGCCACGCGCTATGCAAAACACTGGGGATGTGAAGAAAGGCAAAGAGAGTCCCTATTCTCAAGGAGCTCACAGTTTGATGGGTGAGACATGAAAACAATTATGTGCAAATAAGATATATATGAGATAAATTAGGGGTAATCTGAGAGGGAAGGCACTAAGATTAAGGAGGACTGGGAAAGTTCTTGAAGAAGGTAGGACTTTCACTGAGACCTGAAGGAAGCCAGAAGCTAGAAGGTGGAGATGAGGAAAAAGAGAGTTCTAGGCATGGGGGACAGCCAGGGAATGTGCTAGGAGTCTGGAGATGAAGTATAGTATTTGAGGAAGAGCAAGGGGGCCAGTGTCACTGGATTCCAGAGTACATGGAAAGGTGTAAGGTGTAAGAAGACAGGGAAGGCAGAAAGGGGAAGAGCTTTAAAAACCAAACAGAAGATTTTATATTTGATTCCTTACTGAATAGGTTTTTATTTAATAGGGGCTAATGGGTGGGGAGGTGACATGGTCAGACTTGCATTTTAGGAAGATCAATATGACAGTTAAGTGGAGGGTGAGTTAGAGTGGGGAGAGACTTAAGGCAGGGAGACCAATTAACAGGCTATTGCAAACAGTCTGAGTGGGAGGTAATGAAAGCCTGCACCAGAGTAGTGGCAGCACCAGAGGAAAGGAGGGGTGTATACAAGAGATGTGACAAAAGTGAAATGACAGTACTTGACCACTGGTTGGATATGGGGGGGTGTGAACATGTAGAGTCAGGGGTGACACTAGGTTGTGACCATGGGTGACTAAGAGGATGGGGGCACCCTCAGCAGTAAGAGAGAAGTTAGGAAGAGGCAAAAATTTGAGGGGAAATTAATGGGTTCAGTTTGAACATATTAAGTTTAAGATGTCTGTGGGAATGTTTCAAGATGTCTAAAAGGCAAAGATGTGAGAATGGAGGTCAACTGGAGTTTTGAGCTGGACAAGTAGATCTGAAAGTCATCTGCATAGAGATAATCATTGAAAACATGGGAACTGATGAGATTCCCAACTGAAATAATATTGAGAGAGAAGAGAAAAGGGCCTACAACAGTGTTGGAGGATTCCCAACTGTTAGTGGTCATGGCGTAGGTGAAGATCCAGCAAAGGAGACAGAGAAGGAGCAGTCAGATGGGTAAGAAGAGAACCTGGAAAGAGCAATGTAATGAAAATCTAGAGAAAAAAAGAGTATCAAGGAGAAGAAGGTGACTGACAGTGTCAAAGGCTAAGAGATGGATGAGGATTGTGAAAGGCCATTAGATTTGGCAACTAAGAGATCATTACAACTTTGGACAGAACAGTTTAGGCTGAGTGAGCATGGAAACCAGATTGCGAAGAGTTATGAAGAGTGAGAGGAAAGGCAGTGGAGGCACCTGTTGTAGATAGCTTTCTCACTTTGTTTATCCATAAAAGGGAGGTGAAATATAAGATGATAGCTAACAGGGATGGATAGATCAACTGAGGGTTTTTTTGAAGGTGGGGAGAGATATGGGCATGTTTGAGACAGCAGGGAAAGAACCAGTAGACACGGAACAATGGAAGATTATTGAATTATTTATTTAGTATTTTGTTTTTCCCCAATTATATGTAAAAACAATTTTTAACATTCATTTTAGCATTTTGAGTTCTTCCCTCCCTACCTCCCTCATTGAGAAGGCAAGCAATTTTACATAGGTCATACATAAGGAGTCATACAAAACATATTTATGTTTTAGTCATGTTGTAAAAGAAAATGTAGACCAAAAAAAAAACCAAGAAAAATAATGAAAGTTTAAAAAAAAGTATGCTTCGATCTGTATTCAGACTCCATCAGTTCTTTCTTTGGGAATGGATAGCATTTTTCACCATGAGTTCTTTGGAATTGCCTTGGATCATTATATTTTTTTTAGATTTTATTAATTTATTTATTTTTAGTTTTCAACATTCAATTCCACAAGATTTTGAGTTCCAAATTTTCTCCCCATCTCATCTCTCCCCCCCACCCCAAGGTGGCATGCATTCTGAATACCCCTTCCCCTAATCTGCTCTCCCTTCTATCTCCTCCCCCCTTCTCTTATCCCCTTCTCCTTCAATTTTCCTGTAGAGCAGGATAGATTTCTATACCCCATTGCCTGTATGTCTTATTTCCCAGTTGCATGTGAAAACAATTTTTAATATTTGTTTTTAAAACTTTGCATTCTAAACATTCTCCCTTCCTCCCTCTCTACCCCCCCCTCATTGAGAAGGCAAGCAACTGGGTAGTGCTTATGCATGTGTAGTCATGCAAGACACTTCCATAGTGGTTATGTTGTGAAAATTAAGTATATTTCCCTTAGTCCTATCCCCTCCCCATTTATTCTATTCTCTCTTTTGACCCTGTCCCTCCTTAGAAGTATTTGCTTCTGATTATCCCTCCCCTCCCCCCAGTCTTCCCTCCTCTCTATCATCTCCCTGCTGTCTTGTCGCTTTGCCCCCTATTTTCCTGTAGGGTAAGATAGATTTCCATACCCAATTGAGTGTGTATGTTATTCCCTCCTTAAGCCAAATCTGATGAGAATAAGATTTCACTCGTTCCCTCTCACCTTTCCCCACTTCTCCTCCACTGTAAAAGCCTTTCTTTTTGTCTGTTTTATGTGAGATAATTTACCCCATTGTACCTCTGCTTTCTCCTTCTCCCAACATAATCCTCTCTCACCCCTTAATTTTATTCTTCATATATCACCGCTTCATCTTTAACTCACCCTGTGCCCTCTATCAATCTATCTATACATATAATTTTTTCGCCTCCAACTACCCTAATACTGACAAAGGTCTCATGAGTTACAAATATCATCTTTCCTTGTGGGAATGTAAACAGTTCAACAAGTCCCTTATGATTTCCCTTTCCTGTTTACCTCTTCATGCTTCTTTTGAATCTTGTATTTGAAATTCAAAATTTTTATTCCACTCTGGTCTTTTCAGAAAGAATGTTTGAAAGTCCTCTATTTCACTCAATACCCTTTTTTTCCCCTGAAGGATTATAGTCAGTTTCGCTGGTGATTCTTGGCTATAACACTATCTCCTTTGCCCTCTGGGATATCATATTGCAAGCCCTCTGGTCCCTTAATGTAGAAGCTGCTAAATCTTGTGTTATCCTGATTGTGTTTCCACAATACTTGAATTGTTTCTTTCTAGCTGCTTGCAATATTTTCTGCTTGACCAGGGAACTCTGGGATTTGGCTACAATATTCCTAGAGTTTTCCTTTGGGGAATCTCTTTCAGGAGGTGATTGGTGGATTCTTTCCATTTCTGTTTTACCCTCTGGTTCTAGAATAGCAGGGCAGTTTTCCTTGATAATTTCTTGAAAAATGATGTCTGGGCTCTTTTTTTGATCATGGCTTTCAGATAGTCCAATAATTTTAAAATTATCTCTCCTGGATCTATTTTCCAGGTCAGTTGTTTTTCTAATGAGATATTTTTACATTGTTTTCTATTTTGTCATTCTTTTGGTTTTGTTTTACAACGTCTTGATTTCTCATAAAGTCACTAGCTTCCAATTGCTCCATTCTAATTTTTAGGGGAGTTTTTTTTTTAAGGCAACTGGGGTTAAATGACTTGCCCAGGGTGACACAGCTAGTAAGTGTGTCAAATGTTTGGTCTGAGGCCGGATTTGAACTCAAGTCCTCCTCAGGGCTGGTGCTCTATCCACTGTGCCACCTAGCTGACCCCGGGAAGTATTTTCTTGAGTGAGCTTTTGGACTTCTTTTTCCATTTGGCCAATTCTGCTTTTTAAGACATTCTTCTCCTCATTGGATTTTTGGACCTCTTTTGCCATTTGGGTTAGGCTATTTTTTAAGGTGTTATTTTCTTCAGTATTTTTTGGGTCTCCTTTAGCAAGCTGTTGACTTGTTTTTCATGATTTTCTTGCATCACTCTCATTTCTATTCCTAGTTTTTCCTCTGCTTCTCTTACTTGCTTCTGAAAATTCTTTTTGAGTTCTTCCATGGCCTGGGACCAATTCATAGGTTTTTTGGAGGCTTTGGATGTAGGAGCTTTGACTTTGTTGTCTTCTTCTGTCTGTATGTTTTGATCATCTTTGTCACCAAAGTAAGATTCTATGATCTGACTTTTTTTGCACAGTTTGCTCATGATCCCAGCCAATTACTTGAGTTATAAACGCTTTGTTAAGGTAGAGGTGTGCTTCCAGTGTGGAGAATGTACTGTCTGAAGCTTTGGGGGGTTTTGTGCAGCTGTTTTCAGAGATACTTCTAGGGATCTGTTAATTTTCAGTTCTTCCAAGGTGGTGTGATCAAGGGCAAGGTGTTTACTCTTTTCCTGGCCTGTGCTCTGGTCTGTGAGTGGCCACAAGCATTCTTTTCTGCCTTGGAACTGTCAGGAGGAGTATCTCTGCGCTGCTGCTACAAGTTCTGCCACACCAATGCTCTTCCTTGCCCCAGGACTACCACCTAGAACTGTGACCCAGATCCAAGCACAGGCAAAGCATGAGAATCCTGCCTCAGCACCAGCAAAGAGATCCCTGCAATCCCCCTCTGATCAGCCACTCAATTCCCCCTCAGTCTATGGGCCAAGAGCTCAGGAAGCAGCCACCACTCTGCAGTTGTGCTGAGACTGGGCCTGGGACTGAGCTTCTCTCTCAACATGGTCACAGACTTTTCTTACTGACCTTCTAAGTTGTCTTTTGTGTTCATGGGTTGAGAAGTCTGGGAAGCCGCCACAGCTGCTCATGATTTAGTCCTCTGAGGCCTGCTCCAGCTTTTGCCTGCGCCCCTAAGCTGAACTGTGTTCCTCTCCCCACCCAGAGCAATAGACCTTTCCAAATAAACTATCCAGGCTGTCTTGGGCTGGAAATTTGTTTCACTCTGTCTTTTTGTGGGTTCTGTTGCTTTAGAATTTGTTTAGAGCCCTTTTTTTACAGTTATTTGGAGGGGTTTGGGGGAGAGCTCAAGCTAGTGCCTGCTTTTACTCTGTCATCTTGGCTCTGCCCCACCCCCCCACCTTGGATCACTGTATCGCTGAGGGTAGCTAAGTCATTCACAGTTGATCATCTCACAGTATTGCTGTTACTCTGTATAATGTTCTCCTGGCTCTACTCATTTCACTTTGCATCAGTTCTTATAAGTGTAGGTTTTTCTGAGACCATCCTGCTCATCATTTGTCATAGCACAATAGTATTCCATCATAATCATATATCACAACTTGCTCAGCCATTCCCCAATTGATGGGCATCCCCTCAATTTCCAGTTCTTTGCCACCACAAAAAGAGCTGCTATAATAAATATTTTTGTACATCTGAGTCCTTTTTCTTTTTGTTTTTTTTAATCTATTTTGGGATACAGAACTAGTAGTGGTATTGCTGGGTCAAAGGATACATATGGTTTTTATAGCCCTTTGTGCATAATTCCAAATTGATCTATGTAATGGTTGAATCAGTTCACAACTAATAGAAGATTATTGAGAGAATAGGGATGATAGAATGAGCAGTGTACTAGAGAAGATGGGTTAGAATGGTATTACTGGTGCACATAGAGAAGTTAGCCCTGGCGTGGAGATAGGCCCCCTTGAGCAAGTCACTGATCCTCCCTAGACCTTAGTTTCTTCATCTATAAAATGAGGGGGATAGACTAGATCAGTAGTATCATTGAGAACAGGGCTGCTAACCTATACATAAAGATCCCTGACAGTGTGTTTTCAATATACCAGTCATCCCTTGAGGGATCTCCTAGCTATGAGAAACCCAGGCTGTACGCCATAATAGACCCCCAAAGTCCAGGACTACAGAGAAGCCATTGGCTCTGTGGACTCCAGTTTTAAAATATTTTAACATTCCCAGGCCTCAGTATTCTCATCTATAAACTGAGTGGTTTGGGCCAGTCAGCTTCTGAGGCCCCTTCCAGCTCTTGATCTATGGTCCCATCATATCATCCCTCAAAACTTCTTTGAAAGGATTTTAAGATTTATTGAGGGGGTTGTAGAAATTGTGAGAGGACAATTGCTCCCTCTTCTGGATGCTGTGTCTGTGCCAACAAAATGCATCACTGGGCACATGGATAAGGTTTTGAACTGCAGTAGCTTTGGGGCCATGGAGAACATCTCACTCTCACTCACCTGCTTTCATTTGTCTTGCAGGGGAAGATTTTAGGGGTTTGTGGAAATACAGGAAGTGGAAAGAGCTGTCTGTTATCAGCAATACTGGGGGAGGTAAGTGAAATGTGCTGGTGTATGATTTCTATTCACGCTCATCTAAATACCTGCCATCCCCCACCATACCTGAGTCCTTCCTGGATCAGCATTTTGCCTCCATAACACATAGAGTCCTTGATTTGCATGTGGTCTCCTCCATTAGACGGTAAGCTCTATGAGAGCCTGGATTGTCTTTACCTGGCAAAGAGTATGTGCTTGATAAATGCTTGTTGACCTTTGGGTCAATGATCCTAAGAAGGAGTCATTGTGTAAAGTTAACTTCTTCTTTTTTTTTTTGGCTAGGCAATGGGGTTAAGTGACTTGCCCAGGGTCACACAGCTAGTAAGTGTTATGTGTCTGAGTCTGGATTTGAACTCAGGTACTCCTGAATCCAGGGCCCATGCTCTATCCACTGTGCCATCTAGCTGCCCCACTAAAGTTAACTTCTTTAAAGTTTAATCCTATTTTACATTTTCCCTACAAAACCCAGCTCTCTGGAGGTGCCCTGCCATTTATCTTTTTGTAAAATATCAGAGCCAATATTTTTATAGGCAGGGTGGTATGGTGGACAGAGTGCTGGACTGGGAATCATGAAGACCTCCATTTGAGTCCAGCCTCAGTTATGTGACTTTGTGTAAGTCACTTAAATTTTCTGTTAGTATGTCAATAAGCATTTATTAGCTTGCTGTATGCCAGGCATATGGTAAGCAATGGAAATGCAAATACAAGCAAAAAGTAGGAGAACTCCTGCCCTCAGGAAGTTTAAATTCTAACGGGAGAAGCCAACACATAAAAAGAAGCAGAAAGTAGGGGAGGGAAAGTGAAAGGATTGATATTCCAGGATGTGAATCAGAGGAAGAGACAAGGCCAGGAGCCCCAAGGTGCAGACACTTTGGAGCTGTGACTCCAGGGCTGGAGCAACCTTTCAAGAGGAAACAGTTCCTGGGGCATGAGAGAAAAGTCCAGAGTATAGCCTGGTGAGAAATGAAGACCTGAGACTCAGTCTCCTCAGCTTTAAAATGGGGATAACAGCAAACTAGTGCAACCTATGTAAAGTGCTTCCCAAACTTTGTTGTTGCTGGCTGTCATTCAATCATCTTTCTTCACGACTCTTTGTGACCCCATTTGGGACATTCTTGGTAGAGATATTAGAGTGATTTTCCATTTCCTTCTCTAGCTCATCTTACAGATGAGGAAAGTCAGGCAAACAGGCTTAAGTGACTTGCCCAGGGTCACACAGCAAGTAAGTGTCTAAGACAAGATTTGAACTCAGGGATATGAGTCTTCTGACTTTGGTCTGGTGCTCTATCCAATGTGCCATCTAGCTGCTCATTTGTAACCCTTAGAAGACTATAATAATGCATACTACTACGACTGCTACTACTACTACTGCTACTACTACTACTACCACTACTACTACCACCACTACCACTGCTGCTGCTGCTGCAACATTTAATGTTTGCAAATGTTTTCCTCACAACAAACCTGTGTATGTGTGTGTGTGTGTGTGTGTGTATGTATGTGAGACATAAATATTATTATCCTTATTTAACAGGTGAGGAAACTAATAGAGAAGCTGAGGGATTTGTCAGTGATACCATGACTAGTAAATATCAAGGCTGGGATTTCTCTTCAAGTCTTGACTCTGAGTTCTACTATAGCGCACTGACTAATTGATCTCTCTGCTAAATTTAGGTTTTTGAGTTGGGGATTAAATTGAGCTCTTAGAGAGGCTGATTTTTTTTCTTTTGCTATCTACTCAAGTAGTGCTTCTTTTTTTTTTCTTCCATTTTTGCCCCTTACACTTTTTAAATCTTCTGCTATCCATTTAGAATACCCTGGTACCAGATGAACAGCAAACAGCACCTTGGTGTAGGTTTTACAAATTTGACTTTAAATTGATGGCAAAGATCTCATGTACTTTTTGCTTCTCAAAGCCCCTTCATATCCATTATTTCATTTGCTCTTCCAAACAGCCTTGGAATAATTGTTTCTATTTACTACAGGAGAAAATGGAGACTTAGAGAGAGAGAATAATTGCCTGAAGTCACACAGTAAGACAGAACCACATCTAGAATCTGGGTCTCCCATTTCCTAGTCCCTTGCTTTGATCTTTCAAAAACTATTAGTGACCAAATGATCCTTTAATGAGGTGGTGAGAATGAGCATGCCTCTATCAGTTACCTGACTTTTCACCAAGAAAAAGTTAGGCAAAGTCCTGGAAAGAACAATGATTCAATAAAGAAGCATTTATTAACCATTTGCTATATGTCAAGTACTGTGCTAGGCTCTGGGGACATAAAATACAAAGAATGAAACAATCCCAACTCACAATATGTAACATTTTAATGGTGGGGGTAGGAGGGAGATGACAAGTGCAACTATAATTATTTACCGAATAAATATTAAGTCAGTAAATAGCCTGTGGTCCACAGACCCACAATGAGGAAAAGTTATATCTTTATTCCAATATAATTGGTTTCCTTTGTAATCCCACATATGTTATTTTACACATTTAAAAATATTATTCTGAGAAAGGGCCCATAGTTTTCATCAGATGGGGTTCCTGACACAAAAGTTGGAAACCGCAGAGATAGAGGAAAGGCAGAGTTTTTGATTAAGGAAATGGAACAGTTGTGGATAATGATGTGACCAGCCCCATACCTAGCTGAGGTGGAGTGAAGAAATGGGCCATTGGATTAAGGAGTTTGAAGGAACATCTGTATGGATGTTGAAGTCCCCTAGCATAAGGGCAAAAGTCTTTTTCCTTTCCCCTTTCCTCTTCTCTCCTTTCCTTTCTTTTCTTTCTCTGACAAATAATGCTACTATGAATATTTTCATAAAATAGGTCTTTTCTTGTTAGTAGCTCCCTTGGGGATATAGACTCAATAGTGGGATCACTGGGTTAAAGGGTGTGACCAGTGCTGTAACTTCCCTTGCATAATTCCACACTGTTTTCCAAGATGTTTGGACTAATTCAAAGCTCCACCAGCAGTGAGTTAGCATGCTTGTGTCCTCACAATCTTTTCTAAAAGTGGATCTTTCTTCCCCTTTTGAAAATACTTCTTTGACAATTTAACGAGCATGCAAGTATTTATAGTAGTATTATCTATAATAGTTAAAAAAAAACCCAGCTGGAGAATTACTAAACAAATTGTGCTATATGAGTGTAATGGGATATTATTATACTATGGGAAATGATATATATGAAGAATACAAAACAATATAAGAATACTTGCATGAAGTGAGGAAGAATGGATGAAATAGAACAAAAAAAACCAGCATCCAATTTCTACAACTATGTAAGTGAAGAAAATGTATACAGGAACAAAAATAAGATTAAAAGCATGAGATAAGAGTACACTGATTTATAACACAACACCTATACTTCCTCTTAACAAATAGAAAATGTAAGGTTGAATGTATAATCAGTTGCAACTACACTATTATGGTTTTTTTAATTAAGTGTTTGAGGGTATTTTACATTAACAAAAATTCAACTAGAAATATCCTTGGAGGTTTGTATGATGTGTTGAAAAAAGTTCATTACTAATTTTTCCTTTAAGAGACTTACAGGGTTCTTGTCCACTCATACCACATCGTGGTGGCTGCTGTGTTCCAGCTGCCAGGTCATATACCTTTCTTTCTCAGGAGTTCAACACCTGGCTCACCGTCTTCCCCATCTCTTGCTCTTAGACTAGAGGACTTCAACATTTTACACTGATGTTGCTGTTTTTCAGGTGATTTAGTCATGTCCAATTCTCTGTGACCCTATTTGGGGTTTTCTAGGCAGAGATACTGGAGTGGTTTTTGATTTCCTTCTCCAGCTCATTTTTGCAGATGAGGAAACTGAGGCAAACAAGGTTAAATGACTTGCCCAGGGTCACACATCTAGTAAGTGTCTGAGGCTGGATTTGGACTCAAGTCCAGCACTATGCACTGCACCACCTAGCTGTCCCTATCTGATGCTCCTTTTCAGACTCCCTAACCTCTCAATTCTTCAGTGCCATGACCTGTTCCACTTCAGCTACACATAGAGATGATTACACCATTACCCACAATTCTTCCACTTCCTTAGAAAAAATAACGTGAAAGTGGAAATCAAATAGAAGTGCTGGGGAGGAGCAGGCTTGAAACATCATGGGCTAAACCCCACAACACGCTGTCTATAGGTGAATCAATTTTTTTTTTCTGCAGAATTAAACTACATAATAGGAGGAAGGGTGCCTAAAAGGGGAGAGGAGAAAAAGAAGATAGAGGAGGATATGTAATATATCCTAATCAAGTCAAAGGTTAGCAACAGAAGGAAAATAACTCCTGAAGTCTCTCAGAAAGAAAAGGGCCTACAGAAGAATAGGTGAGGAGGCAAAGAGAGGACTTGAAACAGGAAAATAAAGGGAGAAATTTCATTTTAGTGGTGCTGGGGGTCCTTACAATGGTATAATCCACAGGGATTTGGTGCTTAGAGAAACCACTCATCCTGCCTCAGAAGGGGAAGCAAAGCTCCTGAGTGCACTGACAGAGAAGGGGGGGGCAAAGATTCAGAGAAGAGATTTTGTGAAAATGGGCAAAAAAAAAGATCATGAGGAGGGCAATGGGTAGAAATGAATTGCAGAATCAGGGACACAGGAAAATTCCTACCATGGGGTGATACTTGTATCCTCTCTATCACCTCTAGGAATTGGTATTTCTAAGAGTGAGGCACAACAGAAGAGGGATGGGGAAGGAATAAGATCTATAAGGCAATAACATAGAAACTTTGGAAGACATATCTCAGAACAGGTACCGTAGAAGCTTTAATTCCATGAGGACTATGGAGAATAAGGAAAGGGTAAATAAGCAAAAGGGTCATGAATCAAAGAATAAAAGTCTAAAACAGAAAACAAAGGAGAGATAAATAATGAGGAGAATGAAGGAAAGAAATCCTTTTTAGAAAAAGGTACAGAAAATAAAATAAAAAACTAATATTCAAAACTAGTTGAAAGGGAGTTAGTCAATAAGCATTTATTAAATACCTACTTTGTTCCAGGTACTATGTATGCTAAGCATGGGGGATATAAAGACAGTCCCTGCCCTCAAGGAGCTCACATCTAATGGGGGAAGATGATAAACAAACATATATGTACAAACAATCTATATACAGGATGAATAGGAAATAATTAACCTAGGGCAACTAGGTAGTACAGTAGATAGAATGCCAGGCTTGAAGTCAGGAAGACTCATCTTCCTGTGTTCAAATCTGGCCTCAGATACTTAGTAGCTGTGTGACTGTGGTCAGATCACTTAACCCTGTTTGCCTCAGTTTCCCCATCTGTAAAATGAGCTGGAAAAGGAAATGACAAACCACTCCAATATTTGTGCCAAGAAAACTCCAAATGGGATCACAGAGAGTTGGACATGACTGAAAATGACTTAACAATTAACAGAGGAAAGGCATTGGATTTAAGAGGGCTTGGGAAAGGCTTCCTGTAGCAGGTAAAATTTTAGTTGGGACTTGAAGGAAGAAGCCAGGGAAACCAAGAGGGGGAAATGAACATTCCAGGCATGGAGGACAGCTAGTGAAAATGACTGTAGTTTGGAGATAGAGTATCTTGTTCATAAAACTGCAAAGAGGCCAGTGTTACTGTATCAAAGAATACCAGGAAGAGTGTGTATGTGTGTGTAAGGGGGGGTGTAAAGTTCAAGAAGATGGGAAGAGGGATAGGTTATGAAGGGCTCTGAATGCAAAATATAGACTTTTGTTTTTGATCCTGGAAGTGATAGGGAGCCATTGATGTTTATTGATAAGGAGACTGACATGGGTAGAGAGAAAAAGTGATTTTATTTGATGATTTAACTGAGAGGGGGGAAAGGGCAAAAGAATTAGATAACTAAACAAAAGGAAAAAAGGGAAAAAGGAATTACTAGGTTAAGCAAAACTCTAAAACTAGGAAAAAGGATGACAAATGGGAGGTGTAAGTCTTAAGGGCAAAGAAGAACAAGATTACCTTAAAGTAGTACTGTCTTTACAGAGGAAGAGAAGGGAAAACATGCAAATTTGCAAAGAAGCTAGACTGAAATTACCAAAGGGCTTAGGAGGCAAAAAGTCTCTTGGTCAAGAAAAAGAGCTGTCACTTTTTTGGGGGAGGGTCTAGATCTGTGTTTTCATGGGTGTTGACAAAATTCCTTTTATCAGACTAGAACAACTGTTTTGCAGCTTCTAGCTATAGAGAGTTGTATGGTGTCCCTGAGCCATTAAATGATATGCCCAGGGTCACCCAGCCAGTAGGGAGGCAAGAACTTCAGCTGAGGTCTTCCTGACTCTGAAGCCAGCTCTTTGCTAACACGGGCTGCCATCGTGCCCCCAAAACAAAGGGCAGAAATAAGAGATGAGGAAATATATAGTTTCCTCCTTTTGTTGGAGAGGTGTGTGACAAGGTGTGTAACATGCTATTTGTGATATCAGATGAGACCAAAGTGGGGCTTGGCTTGGCTTAAATCTTCTTATGGGTTTTATATATTAAAAGAGGAGATTCAGTGAATAGGAGAGGAAGGGGGAGTGGCTTATTTAGGAATGATTGTGATGTAAAAACCAAAGGCATAATAAAAAAATATTTAGGCAAGTTGCTTAACCTCTAAAAAAACAAGCAAAACATGTATTTTTTTTTAAAGGAAGGGGTTAGATGTTAAGATGTCTTCCAACTCTAAATTTATGATGCTACAAATTATAAAGAGATGGATTCACGGAAGAATAAGCCTTTTGGGGGCCAATATAATGGTTTTCTTAATCCATAGTTCGGGCACAACACATCTTTCCCATAAAAGACAATTCCCCTATTTAGTGATCAAGATGTGATCCAACCAACAGGCAACTAGATGGGGGTGGGGGAGGGAATTAAAAACACCTTTTCAACATAACATTGTAATGGCAATGTAATGGAAATAATCCTGGATTTTGAATCAGGAAATATGAGGTTTTAAAAAATAGATTTTAATTGATATCTTTTATTTTTACATCACCTACATTTACCCCTGTTTTCCTCTCTTCCCCTTATTTAGAGTGCCATTCCTTATGACCAAGAGTTTTTTTTAAAGGAAAGAAAAAATTCAGCAAACCAATCAACACATCAAAAAACAAACAAACAAACAAACTGATGTTATGATGCAATGTTTCATACTAGCTCTGCAAAAAAGCAGGTGACAGAGGAGACTTTTTTTCCTCTCTCTTCTTTAGGGCCAAGAAAAGTTAGGTGGGACAGTGGATAGAGTGCTAAACATGAAGTCAAGGAAACTCATCTTCCTGAGTCCAAATCCAGCCTCAGACACTTACTAGCTTGTGATCCTGGACAAGTCACTTAGCCTGTTTGCCTCAGTTTCCTCATCTGTAAAATGAGCTGGAGAAGGAAATGGCAAACCACTCCTGAATCTTTGCCAAGAAAACCCCAAATGAGGTCACAAGAGCCAGACCTGATTGAACAAAAACAATAGCAACAACAATTAGTTATTGTAATTTTGCAGCCTTCCATTTCAATTGTCTTGTAATTTTTTTTATTGACATTGTTGTAGTTATTGTAAATATTGTTTTCCTGTCTCTGTTTACTTCATTCTGCATCTATTCATACAAGTCTTTCCATGCTATTATGTATCATGTTGTTTCTTATAGCACAGTAACATTTTATTCCATTCCTGCACCACAGTTTGTATAGCCATTCCCCTACTGATGGGCATCCCTTTTGTTCCTAGTTCTTTGATACCACAGAAAGTGCTGCTATAAATATTTTGTTGTATATGGAGCCTTGCTTTTTGTCAATGGCCTCCTTAGAGTATGTGCATAGCCATGAAATCAAAATATAGGGAAATTTTAGTCACTTTATTTGCATAACTCCAAAATGTTTTCTAGAATGCCCCAATTCACAGCTCCACCAATAATACATTAGTTTTCCTGTCTTTCGGCAGTTTCTCCACATCAACTGTTCTTTTGTCATCTTTGCAAATTTTGGGAATGTGAAATGAAATCTTAGGGTTGTTTATGATTTGTATTCCTCTTATTAGTGATAGACAGACTTTTATATAGTTGTTAAAAGGATGCAATTCTTCTTTTGAGAACTGTTTGTTCATATTCTTTGACCACCTATCTATTGGGGAATGGTTTTTGATGTTATATGTTTCTGTTACTTGTCTATAAAGCTATATATCAAACTCCTATTTGATGCAAAGATTTTTTTTTCACAGTTGGCCACTTCCCTTCTAACCCTAGATGCATTAATTTTGTGTGTGCAAAAGCCTTTCAATTTAATATAATCACAAAGATCAATTTTATCTTTTGTAATTATCTCTATCTTTTGCTTAATATTTCCCCCCCTTTTGAGTTGTCTGTCCACTATGTTCCTCATGTAATCTTTATGCTTGTTCACTCTCCCTATTGATAGTATGCAAGTCTATGTAAAAGTGTGCCCTAAGTGTGTAGCAATGGAGAAATAATGTCTTATTACCAATCTTCTTCCTTTCTGTTTCAGTAAATGCCTTTGCTTTGGAAAAGAATCCTTGCTCTCCCCTCTCCCTACCCCAATAATTAGAGAAAGGTATATGGTCTACCTTCTCTTCTATTTTTATATGGTATGATAAGAAATGGGGCAACTAGATGGCACAGTGGGTAGAGTACCAAGCCTGGAGTTAGGAAGACCTAAGTTCAAATATGGCCTCAGATACTTACTGGCTGTGTGACCCTGGGTAAGTCTCTTGACCCTGTTTGCTTTAGTTTCCTCATCTGTCAAATGAGCTGGAGAAGGAAATGGCAAACCACTTTAGTATCTTTGCTAAGAAAACCCAAATGGGGTCACAAAGAGTCAGATACAACTGAAATGACTGAACAATAATGAGAAATATGAATTTTAATCCTGCCTCTGACCCTTTGCAGATGTATGGTACAAAAGAGTGCCAGATCTGTAATCAGAGGGCCTCAGTTCAAATCCTGACTCTGGTAGTTACCTATCACACTGTCTGTGTGACCTCAGGGAAGTCGTGGTTTAATCTCTCTGGACCATTATTTTCCATCCTCCTCCTTCCAAATGAGCGTTGGACTGGATATGTGTGATTCTATTATTTGGGAAGGTTTTGCAAACCATGAAGTACTATAATTACATGAGTTATTATTCATTCACACCTTCACCTAGCAATTTATGACCTTTCCCAAAATAACTAGACCCTCCTCCAAAGTGTCATTTAAAAAACCATTTTAATCTTTAATATTTAACCACTGAGTCAGAAAATAGCAAAATCATATTGATATAGGTGGGAGATATTTAACATCTTTAACAAAAAAATGTAGAACTTACTCAGTGCTGTAAATGCATCATGAATAGTGTTTTTGTTTCTTTACCACTCTCCAGTATGTTTGGACAGGTATCATTCTCTCCATTTCAGAAACAGAAAGCCCGAGGCCCAGAGAGAGGAAGTTACTTCTGGAAGGTCACACTGCTTGTGCAGGGGTGGAATGACAATCTCACAGATATCGATGCATTCCCCACTAGCCAGCCCTGTCTCCTCACCAGTGTCTTAGTTCTTACATTGTCTGTTCCTTCTGCTACAGATGAATTTACATGCTGGATCTGTGGGAGTGAATGGAAGTTTGGCCTATGTCCCCCAGCAGGCATGGATATTTAGTGGGACCGTCAGAAGTAACATACTCATGGGAGAAAAATATGACCAAGCCAGGTACACTTCAGATGTCATTTTGTGGATTTGAGGGGTGGGAATGACCACAGGTATGCTTTTGGGATGATGAGGCTGGGACAGATTTGGGGTGAGACCCCCAGTTTCACTAGGTTGTGAAGAATTGAACATAGATCATCAATATGCACTAAGAAAGGAAGACCTCCCATCAGTGAAGCCAGACATCCTTGAACATCCTTAGTGCTCCATGCAGCTTTCTAGTGCTATATGTTATCAACTTGCCCAAGGTGACATGAATTCGAATCATAAATTGATAGGACTGAAAACTGCTCACCTTCTACCGTTTGGTTTTCCTTAGATATCGCCAGGTGATCCATTCCTGTTCACTGAAGAGAGACTTGGAAATTTTGCCCTATGGAGACATGACTGAAGTGAGTGATATGAGAGAGTCTGGGTTGATATCAAGTTACATCAGTCTTGTTATTGATGCATTCAGATTTAGAATCTCTTCCAGGTATCCTTTCTATTCTCCCCTAGTCTGCCAGGCAGGAGTCTACCTGACTGTCTTCAGATCAAAAAGTGTATATAAATCTTTCTTTAGGTAAGGCAGAACACTTCCCAAGTTCCTAGAGCCCTCTCTCCTCAAACTAGAACCTCTGCCCCTCTTCTTTCAAGCCTCAAGCCTTTTCTGATACTTTTCCTTCCTGTGGTTCCTAATAGAGAAATCAGAGCCTAATTTATTCTAGGTTCTTAGGATGAACAACTCCATCCCCCAAGCCATCTTCAGCTCTCACCTCAGGGTCGAGCAATGTTACTCTTCCTCCTTATAAAAAATTTTTTAAAATCTCATATGAATGCAATGCAATTATTCTGACCAAACTTGGCTCTGGAGAAGACATGAGAAAATGCACTCCTCTCCTTTCTTTGGAGAGATAGGGGGCTATAGGTGTGGGAAAATGCATATATTATTAGATGTGATTGATGTGCTGCTTGGTTTTACTGAACTACTTTTTTTTCCTTCTTTTAAAAATCTGCATTAGAGAGGATGAGTTACTGGGCAGGGGAAGGGAAGAGATATATTTGGAAATGAATATGATGTTAAAGAGAAAGATATCCATAAAAATAATGTAATTTAAAAAAAAACTCCCAAGTAAGTGCATGACCATACAAGCTACCACATCAAGAGCTGATCTGAATGACAATTTTCCCAGGCAAATCTGCCTCCATAGAGGCATCAATTATGATAATAAATACTGATGTTTATATAGTGTTTAAGGTTGTAAAACACTATATGTATTATCTTGTTTGAGCCTTATATGAAAGCTGTGAGGTGACATAGGTAATATTATCTCCATTTTACACATGATGAAACTGAAGCTCAGTGAAATTAAGAGGTCTGCCAGTGATCACCCAGGTGGTAGCTAAACCCAGGTAGGTACTCCTGGCTCCAAGTCCAGTACTCCATCCACTGTCCCCATTCTGTGGTGCTTTTAACATTTCTTCCTTCCTTCCTTCCTTCCTTCCTTCCTTCCTTCCTTCCTTCCTTCCTTCCTTCCTTCCTTCCTTCCTTCCTTCTTCCTTCCTTCTTCCTTCCTTCCTTCCTTCCTTCCTTCCTTCCTTCCTTCCTTCCTTCCTTCCTTCCTTCCTTCCTTCCTTCCTTCCTTCCTTCCTTCCTTCCTTCTTCCTTCCTTCCTCTTCCTTCCTTTCCTTCCTTCCTTCTTCCTTCCTTCCTTCCTTCCTTCCTTCCTTCCTTCCTTCCTTCCTTCCTTCCTTCCTTCCTTCCTTCCTTCCTTCCTTTTCCTTCCTTCCTTCTTTCTCTCATTCTTTCTTTTTCTTTCCTTCTGTCTATCTGTCTGTCTGTCTTTGGCATTTGGGGTTAAATGACGTGCCCAGGGTCACACAGCTGATAAATGTCTGAGGCCACATCTGAGCTCAGATCCTCCTGACTCCAGGGTCGGTGCTCTATCCACTGAGCAACCTTAGCTATCCCTGTTTTTAACTTTTCAAAGCACATGCACATCCTCTGTTATATCTGAACCTTACAAGTCCCCTGGGAGATAGGCAGGATCTTGTTATCCCTGTTTTACAGATGATAAGACAGAGGCCTAAGTGACAGGAACAAAATCACACAGCAAACAAGTGACAGGGGCAGGATTTGTACTCAAAACTCTTGCCTCACTATCTGGTGGCATATATAATAGGGAGAATGCTAGACCTGGAGTTAGGATGATCTGGGTTTGAATCCTTCCTTAGACACCATCTCTGTAATGCTGGGCGAGTCACTTAGCCACTCTTGGCCTAAGTTTCTTATCTGTAAAACAGAGATCACAGTGGTTCCTACCCATAGGATTGTTGTGATGATCAAATAAGATAATATACGGGAAGCACACTGCAGACCTTAACGTGATCAGCCATGCTAGCTGTGCCATGCCAGGCCATACCAGCTGCCTGACCTGTCTCATGCCTCTGACTTCCTGGCACTGGCACTGGCCATCTGGGCCCATTCTAAGCAAGGCTTTGACTTGAGCAAGAGCCCGTCATGTCCACTCCACTCAGGACAAAGCTCTGGATGGAGATAACTAAGGGTTTACTGGATTGTGTTGGTGCTCCTCTTTCCTGCTCATCACCTTGCTCAGCTCTCCCTTTTTTATTCCTTATTTATAGATTGGTGAGCGGGGCCTCAACCTCTCTGGGGGTCAGAAACAGAGGTTGAGCTTGGCACGAGCTGTATATGCCAACCGTGAGATCTACCTGCTGGATGACCCCCTCTCGGCGGTGGATGCCCATGTTAGGAAGCAAATATTTGAAGAGTGCATTAAGAAGGCACTCAAGGGGAAGACCATAGTTCTGGTGACTCACCAGCTGCAGGTAACAAGAAGCGAAACTGGTGTGATGGTAGCCATTTGCTGAAAAAAATGCTGATTAACTAAGGTGACCCTCCCAGTCCCCCATGATTTAATAACCTTACAAAGCCTTATAAAGAAGCCTTTCCATTCATACGGCAAGTGGCATGATCAAAGATTTAGAGCTGGAAGAGATACAGCACAGCATCAAGTCCAACTCCATCATTTTACAGATGAGGAAACTGAGACCAAGAGGGCTAAATTTTTGTTCAAGAGCACAAGGCACTAAATAGCAGAGTCAGGATTCAAACCTGTGTCCTCTGACACATGCTATATGAATTATAAGAAATATGAATTTTATTCACAGTACTTGGGGGAAGGTAGACTAGTAAAAGATTTTTATGGGCTGGTAAAATTTGAATGCTCATCGGAAAGATGGCATTGAGCTGTCTGTCTTCAGGTTTATACAGGTGCTGATAGCCTGATGTATGACACACGAAGATGCTCATAGTATGATTCTGTGTCCATAAATGGAGTAGACAAGAGATTTGGGTTAGAAATAAGGAGGAAAGTCTTGAAGATAGGGGACAGTATGGGATTTCTGGCCCTAAAGATTTTCAGGAATAGTACAGACAATTGAGGATTATTTTGCTATCTGCAACTCTGAAGGCAAGGGCCGAGCCTCAGCCTACAAAAATAGCAGGTTGGACTCAATGAATTCTCCTGCTCTAAATCTTGTGTTCCTACCACTCACTTGTTGGACTGTGCTTGATGCTATGATTCTCAAGAAAGGCTCTGTTGCCTTCATTGTTACACAGATTGAGTTTAGACATGTACCCTGGCTCTGCTCCCAAGTATAGAGGCCCAAATGAAAGACAGCCAGCTTGCTGGGGCAGCAAGAACATTGGAATGCCCATCAAATGGTATGGGTTCTAGCTCTGAGAATGCCACTCTTTTACCTTGTGACCCTCCTACTCCTCCTTGGCCTATTTCTCTGTCCTTAAAATTAGGGGGTTCCCTAAGGGCCCTTCCAACATTCTATGGACATATCTGTCTGCTTCCATACAGAACTGAATCCAATCCACTGAATTCACAAAATCCTTCGATGAAAGAGAATTCTCAAAGTCTCATCTGGAATCAGGTTCTTAAAATACTATTGCTGTTATTAATCAGAATAATGTCCTCAATATCGATAAGGCATTTAACTTTTTTTCAGGTTACTTTCACATCTGCCATCTGATCTCATCTTCTCAATTTCATTTTTCTACAGTATTTAGAGTTTTGTGACCAGATCATTTTACTTAAGGATGGGAAAATATGTGAAAGTGGAACTCATGATGAATTATTGCAGAAGAACGGACAATATTCCCAGCTCATCCAGAAAATATGTAGGGAGACTCTACAGGTAATCTCTACTGCTCTTGAAATAAATCCCTCATCCTATACTGCATGGAAATAAACTGTACAGTATTAGGGGCATGGATCTTTAAGGTACTGATGACTTTTTTCTCTAGAATGCAACAGATGGGGCTAAAAATACAACAGAGAAGACGCAGGTAGATCTCTACTCCCAGGAGGGATTCTTCAATGAAAATTCAAGTAATGCTACCTTTTTTTTTTTTGCAATTGGGGTTAAGTGACTTGCCCAAGGTCACACAGCGAGTAAGGGTCAAGTGTTTGGTCTGAGGCCGGATTTGAACTCAGGTCCTCCTGACTTCAGGGCTGGTGGTCTATCCACTGTGCCACCCAGCTGCCTCAGGTAATGCTACCTTTAAGATTCCTTTGAGAATAAGTTTACACTGTCCAATAGCCAAGGCCTAGGCTCAATGCATCTTGTTCTCTCCTTTTAGCATCTATTCTTTTTGGTGCTCTTATTCTAGAAGTGATAATGGTTGTTCTCACTTAAAAAAAAAAAGAATCCTTTTTCCAAGGTATTGTCCCTTATGTGCTCTAATGATGGATGTGAGGTGATCAAGGCTATGAGGCTGGTGGGCCAATGATAAGAGAGCAGATCAGAAGCAATGTGGCATAGTGGAAAGAGGACTAGACTTCATGAGACCTGGGTTCAAATCCTGTCTTTGATATTAACAAGCCATGTGACCGGGGGAAAAAATCAGTTTACCTTTCTGTGCCTCAGTATCCTTCCTTATGTAGAGAAATAATGTATTTGTACTATCTACCTCTCAAAGTTGTTTAAAGAAAGCTTTATAAACTTTAAAATGTTTTGGAATATTAGTTATTATTTTAAAGCAGAAATTCCAGGTCTATAGAGCTGAGATCTAGAGGGATCAGATTAGAAGCCTTAGGTTAGGACCCTTAAGAACTCTGAGTGGAACAAGGACTGAAAGCTTCCGTCAGAGTTAAGGAGATGGTTGGCCTCAAGGCTGTGACAGTACTGTTCCGAGGCTAGCTCCATTCTCTCCAGCTTTTCAAAGCTGAAAAGCTCCTGGTATTTGAAAGTCTTTCCTCATCTCCTTGAGGCAGAAAATGCTCTTATGGGTGTGGCCTGACAGTCTAGGCTTACTAGACAGTCCAGGGCCCGAACTGATGAAAGGGGTGGCATTTCCTCAGACTGCATAGGGGCTTCAGCATTCGTGTCTGTCATGCGTGAAACATACCAAGAATGTTCCAGGCTGACTGGCAGGGCTGATTTTGGGTTCCTGGTACCATCAGCTCTTTCTGCATTTCCCCAGGCAGGGTCCATGGCAGAAAGCCCCTTTTCACCCAAAGGGAAGCCTCCCAGCAAGGCAACTATTACTCTCAGGATTCTTGCCTTCCTCCTTCTCCTCTAAGGAGATTAGAGGCCATTGTGAAGGACTCAAAGCCTAAGAAATAAAATGAAGCACTTGTAGAGAACCTTCCACAGACCAATCTTAATGAGAGACAACATTAAGACCGCTAGACTTAAGGAGATGTGGGTCTGAATCTAGCACCTACCAAACTATGTGACCATGGGCTTTACTTCTCTAAACCTCACTTTCCTTATCTGTAATAAGGGGGTAGTAGTACTTATACTTTACAGTTATTATGAGGAAAATGCTTTTGTAAAACAATGCTCAAGAGAAGGCAAGTTGCTATTATTATGCCATTTTATAGGAGAGCCAAGTGGTAGGAGGCATAACAGATATGAATGTTTTTTCCCCCCTTCCCAGTAATGGAGACTCAGCTTACTGAAAAGGAAAAAATGGAAGAAGGTTCCCCAAGCTGGAAAGTCTATCACCATTACATCCAGGGAGCAGGAGGTAATCCCATTCCTCAGTGTCTTGCTTTCATCTTTTGCTGATGCTCCCTATGGGCAGGCACACTCAATGGCTGGTCCTGGTGCTGCAGCTGGGATGCGCCAGCACCCTGTAGCAAGAATACAATTTTGGCCTTGGATGTATTTCTGTGTGCTGGAAGGGCATATTCAGGGGAAGAGGATTGGGAGGTGCCTAAATCTTATTCCTAGCATCCCCTTCTCTCACTTTCTTGTATTCTCTGCCTATTGGCAATCAATCAATAATTTACTAAAACACCTATTTGATACTTACCCTTTTGCTGAGTGCTATAGGAGAGACAAAGAAATAGCAAATGATCCCTGCCTTCAAAGAAATGACAGTATAACTGGGGAGACAAAACATATCAATATATAGAGACATAGATTGTGAGGGGTAGGGATGGTTAGGGAAGGCTTCCTAAAGAGGGTGGGGTTCAAATGGGACATCATGGCATTCGTCACATCAGAAGAGAGATAGGAAGACTGCAGTTTAAAAGAGTATGGGAGTATTATGGGAAGCATTGTGTATGCTGAGGAATGTGGTAATTATGAGAGAAATGTTGCAAAACGGGCCTCATCCTAGGCTCTCTTATGATATCCTCTCATGATGTCTCTCATGATATCACACAAGGTGGAGAAAGGTGGGCAAGATGATAGTACGCTTAATAGAGTTGGGTGAAGTCATGGTTACTCAAAAGACTGGATCTAAGATAACAGATCAGTATCAATCCGGATAGAGGTCCCAAGTTGTGGATTACAATGCTTCATTACCAGCCTTATTCTATGATCTCTCACCCAGCACCCATTTTCAAAATTCATCCCTCTTGTCCTACAACTAGAACACCAAGATATTCAAGATGGATAGTGATTCCACATGGGAAGAACTGAGAATTCCGGGGCCAAGTTTGTCCAGTAATTTTGGAAGCTGGATTCTGGCAATATCTTCTAGCTACCCCAGAACTAATCTTCACGTGTCTTCCCCTCATCCCCACCTCAGGTTACATTGTCATTTTCCTGACTTTTCTTCTCATGATGGTGAATGTCAGCCTTACAACATTCAGTTTTTGGTGGTTGAGCTACTGGCTCCATCAGGGCTCAGGGGTAAGTGCAGTGAGGATGACTTCTTGGGGGATAGTTCTGCCATGATGAATAGGGCCCCGTATTGAATGTGACACTACCCTAGGATTAAACCAGTCTGCCCCCTACCAATACTAGCAAGAGGTGAGCATGGATGGTACACATGTCCCACTTACACAGCCCAACGACAACATGCGTTTATTAAGATTTGCTATGTATCAGACACTGTGGGAAGCATGGGAGATACAAAGACAAGAGTGTGAAAAATAGTCCCTGCCTTCGAGTGGCTTACATTCTGCTACTCTTTACAAAGATGACAAGTCATGCAGCTGAAAGAAGGCAGGAGGCCTGGGTTATAATCTCTAAAATGTGGTCTGGGTCAACCTAATGCATAGAAAGAATATGGGACTGCCTATATGTGATTAGAAGGACATCAGAAGTCATTCGTGTCCAAAAATAACTCCCCAGGTGACGCTTTAAATCTCACCACTAGTAGTTTGTTCCTTTAGGTTAAACATTGCCTTCTTCTTGTAGATCAGCTTTTAAAATGCAGATACCCCCAAAAGAGGATAAATCCTCTTGGTATCCCCTTAGTAAATACTTTATCAAATCACTTTCTTCTCTTTCTCATGAGAAAAAAATAAAATAAAACAAAACAACCTACTGGACCTAGAATCAGGAGGTTGGGGGTTCAAGTCTCTACTTTGACACTTTTTAAACTGTGTGACTACAGAAGTTACTTTCCCTATCTGGGTCTCAGTTTCCTCATGAAAATATTACTGCTAATAATAATAATAGACACTCCTACCTTCCATAGTTGTTGTGAGAGAAGAGATTTGTAAACCTTAAAGTGCTACAGAATTGTGAGCTGTTATTATTCTAAAGGGAAGAGCATTAGGCCACTGGGCACCTTGTGGGTGGGGTATGTGAAAGGGCACAGAAAGAAGTGGAAAAAGTCCAGAAAGGCAACATGCCTAACTTCACAATTTTTCTGAGGGCTGGCCAAACCTGCTATCAAATAAATGTGCAACCTTAGGCAGCCAGAACATTTCACCACTTCGGATCTCAGTTTCATCATCTGTAAAAGTGAGTTAATAAGTCCTATCCAGACCTGACAGTTTTGTGTAAACATCAAATTAGGTAATAGATTTGAAGTGCTTTGAAAAGTCTAAAATGTTTTATGCCTATAACCTCTGGATGCTCCACGAAACACCAGGAGGTCTATTCAGATCTTCAAAGTTGATACTGCTTGCTGCCTGAGATCCTTTCCTCTATGTAAGCCTTATTTTTATTTTTTTTCTCCTCTTTGCCCCATCCCTTCCCACCTCTGTTCATATTTGCTTCCTTTGCTTGATGTTTTCTAAATGTCCACTGTCTAAATCTACCATTTGCTCCTTATTGTCTGCATAAATATTGTCCATATTGCAAATGAATTAGTGTCAAGGATGTCTGGGCTGCAGCTCTGACTCAGTTGGGTAGATTAGTCTTATTTTTTCTTAATCCACATTGTCAGAGGCATGATTGGGCAGGGGACAAGGGAACAGTTTCTCCAAGCACACCATGGAAGGTGGTAGAAGCTTTGATATTATAGTAGACTTGTAGATTAAGTTCATTCAGATGAACACAAAACCTACCTACCAGCTGGTACAGAATGTGATTTGGGAAATCAGATGAATCAATATTGGAGCAGTCAGAGAGTTCCAGGAAGCGGTGCATCTTCAGCATAGAGTTTAAAAAGGGAGAGGAGCAAAAGGAAGGCATGAAATGATTGGAGGCACAGAGGAGAAGATTTTAAAATGGTATTTCACTGAGTATACGTTCCTGACTCCATTTGAATAGAGAATAAAAGTCTTGTCTCCCTTTGACCTCACCCTTAATCACACAGTGGTCTCCTTATTCTCTCTTTAAGGCCGGTAACAGCAGCAAGATCAATGGAACAGAACAGTTGGGCTCAGGAAACCTGGGGGACAATCCCCGAATGCCTTTTTACCAATTAGTGTATGGACTGTCTGCCCTGTTACTGATTTTTACAAGTGTCATCTCATCAGCCGTTTTCACCAGAACTACAAGGAAGGCATCCACTGCCCTTCACAACAAGCTCTTTATGAAGGTACAGTAGCCATGGTATGAGGCTTCTAGCTGGGCTCTGCTCTGGGGCCACCAGCTTCATAGGTACGGGAAGAGGGAGAAGTGATTAGACAATGGTGTGTGTCTAGGGGTCTTAGTGGATTGCAATTTCAATGAGTCAGCAGCATGACAAGACAAGCAAAAGTACTCAAACAATCTTAAGAGTACATTCAGCCCAAGGAAGGTGACAGTCCTGCTATGCTCTGCACCGGTCAAACTATCTCAGATCTAGCACCACATTTTAGAAAGGGACATTGAAAAACCGCAGTGCATCTAGAGAAATGCAACCGGATGGTAAAAGGACAATGGTAAATATGGCTGGTAAGGTGGTAAGATATCACCTGAGTTTGGGTTGGAGGAACTAGAGATGGTAAACCTGGAGAAGAAACGCCTCAGAGAGTGGGCATCCAGCGTAGCTATTTTCAAATTTCTGAAAGGTTGTTGGAAGGAATAGACTGGTTCTATTTGGCACCAGAGACAGGACTAGGAGTAAGGGATGCAATTTGCAGAGGCTTAGATTTGGGCCAGTATTATATTTTATTATTTATAGTTTAAGTATTATTTCTTTTCCCATTCCTTTCATTGCTTTAGATCATAATAAATAAAAGATGAAACTCTAGGGAAATCTATTCAACTTCAAAAATGACAATCTGACCCCTATGAAGGGAATTTTCTTTTTCTCCCCTGCGCTCCATTCTCTGCCAGACATCTATTTCTCAAACAGAATATCAGGAATTCCTAATGCAGAAAGACCTTTTCTGGGCTGCGGCATTTGTAGAGTCCCAAGTTTAAGTACCATTGGTGGAAATATGGATTCCACTTGCTTCCAGTCACTCTTCATGTTCTCAAGATTCCCATCAGATTTATGATCTAGTTGTCATTCCTCTGACCAAATTGAACAGTTTTTCCCCCTGGAAATTTATAAATCTCTTCAGATCCAGGAATTTCAACAACAACCAGGCTCAAACCACATAATGGATTGTCAGTTGACTTCCCAATAAAGATTTAATGAGATTTTGGTTAAGCATGTATCTCCTTGCCTTTAATATTAATTTCTGATAAAAATATATATTTTTTGCAACCAGGCAGCAGTAACCTTCCTTACACAGCCTTGTTTGGCTACTTTCTTGGCTTGGTTCCAGGCTCTTAAAAGACTGGATAATGTATATTTATAGCATGGGAGGTGACTTTTTGATTATAAAAACATAAATATACTTTTAAGCAAAGCATAAAGAGGCAGAATGAAATAGTAGTAATGATAGCAATACATAAAAATGTATTTGGAGTCAGAGAATTCACACTTGAATTCTAGCTCTACTCCAAACTACTGATGTGACTCTGGGCAAATTACTTCCCTTCTTTGGGTCTCAATTTCCTAATTTGTAAAGAGGAGGAACTAGACTGGACCATCTCTTAAGATCCTTTCTGAATCTGAGGACTCTACGTAGTGGGGCTCATATTCCCTTTTTTCCATTGTTTCACTATGGTGTTCACCCTTTCTGCCTCTAAAATCACATGGTACATTGTACCTTTCCTCTGCATTTCCTCACACTATTTTGTTTTCTACTTGTATTTGTGTGTGTTTTATCCTTTCCAATAATTATAAGTTTTATAAGGGCAAGGAGATTCTATCAGATTTAAATTTAGTACCCAACCCCAGACTTTGCACACAGGAAGCCCTTAGTAAGTGTTTGTTAAAATGGAAGATTAAAATTCAGAATCAGCTGTGGCAGCCTTGTGGTGGTTTGTGTGTATTTGTTCTCCAGTATAAATGCATTTCAGCTGAATTTAATTCCAAGAACATTTTGTAACTGAAATAACTGAATGTTCACTAATGGTTCAAAGAGGTTTTATTTTTTTCTTCTTAACTGATACCAGTGACTTTCTAGTTATTTCAGGTAGGTGAAATTTTTGGAAAAGAAAGAAGTACTTATGAATTTAAGAGGTCATCAACTGATCAATGAACACATATTCATTAAGCATCCGTTATGTGTCATGCACTACACCAGGCAGTGAAAATACAAAGAAATTTTAAAAAACCACAGTATCAGCCCTCAAGTACCTTCTGTCAGGAAATGAAAAGTTTAATTAATCAATCGACAAGTATTTACTATATGTATATGGCAGGTCATGCCTGGGTGCTAGAGTAGAAAGAGCCCTAGACTGAAACTCAGTGGCTTGGATTCAAATCCTTCCTATCTTTGTGACCTTGGACAAGTCACAGCATCTCTTAGGGGGCTTCAGTTATTTTCTCTGTTAAAAAAATGAGGCAGGATTCAATGATGCCTCCTACTCTGTGATTCTGCTTGCAGGACCTAATGCTAATGTCAGACGGTTTTTCTCTCTCCACAGATTCTCCACTGCCCTATGAGTTTCTTTGACACAACTCCTAATGGTCGATTCTTAAACTGTTTTTCTGGGGACTTGGATGAGTTGGACGGAATAATGCCATTGGTTGCAGAAGAGTTCTTACTTTTTTTTCTCGTCATGGTGTCTATTTTGATCATTGTGATCATACTGTCTCCCTATTTCCTGATTGTTGGAAGCATCATTGGTGTTGTCTTTTTTATTTTATTTCAGTGAGTAGGTTTCTTAATCAACTTGGCATTAAGCTTCATAATTTGAGAATGAAAAGTGCTGCATGTTTCATAATTATCATATTGGTAAAACTTGCATGTTGTGGTCACAAGCCTTAACTCTATTTTTAGTGGATAACGTAGGATAGCATAAGAGAAAATAGCACAAAGTAAAAAATTACTGGGGACAATTAATGCTAGTATATCCAAAGCCCAGTCCTGTATTCAAGGCCATTGGAAAGTATTAGACCTGCAAGACAGAACTTCTCTCTAAAAAACATGGCTGGCCAAAATAGAAACTTCCTCCGAAGACCCTTTTTAAATGTCAAAAAATTTTGTGGACCCTTCAACCCCTAAATAGTTGCATTTATGCTGCATATTATGTTGGAATGAAATAAAAATCCAAATGGCAGTGCTCTGAGTACAGATGGATTTGAGGACCTCTTACAATAATTCCATGCACTCCTGAGAACCACTACACTAGAAGATATATTCTAGTAAGAGTCAGAATAACTGAAGAGAGACACATTCACCATGGGGAAGAGGCATTCTGGAACTAAATTTCACATAGTGGTCTTATTTTCCCAGGGTCCTCATTTACCTTTATCTATTCCAATTCAATAAATATTTGAGACAGATCTGTATGGGGCCCTTTACCAAGCAATAAGAGAGATACAAGGAGGAATAAAACTCAGTCCCTGCCCTCAAGGAATTTAAAATCTATTATTGGAGAGAACAGAGGAATAGAAATAACTATAGAACAGGATAAAACATAAGTGAGGTTTAAAGGAACCAAGGAGAATGATTTTGGGAATGGGAAAAGGGGTGAAATGGTAAGCAGAGAATGATGGCAAAAGTTTGTGGTTTGGAGAAGGGGTAGTTTTAATACCTTCTTTACTTAAGGTGAATGTAAAAATTATGAGGTTCATTTTTTTATTTCAACAAAAGTTAAAAAAATAACAGAATTTTATGACATGTGCTATTTCCCAGTTTAGTTCTGACCTTCAACATTAATGTTTCATTACATTTTGAATCAGCATATTGGGTTTAAGCAAAAAAGTTGAACTCTTGTGAGAATCTATGTGAAGGGGTAGGGAAAGGACTGGGCAGAAACTCAGAGGGCTGTGGTTCTAGAACTGGCTATGCCCCTTACTACCTGAATGTCCCTGGACAAATAATTTTAGCCCTCTGGGCTTCAGTTTCCTCCCCTGAAAAATCAATGTCCTCCTCCCTGGTTAATCTCCAGTATTTGATTTCTCTACACTGGCCCTAGGGCTGCTGAGCGTCACTAGAAAAAAAATCATTATCAAAGTGACTTCAACTACTGCAAGTTTGTTGCACAACATTATGTGGGCCCTCACTATTTTTTGAAAGTTCATTTAATCTATCCTTATTGGTTCATCTCATGCTCAACAGCATCTATTCTAAACCTTTCCTTTTCTTCTTTTAATCTTAATTCCTCCTCCACCTCCTACCCTTACAGCAGATGAGCTAACCTCCTACTTCAGTGAAAAGATTGGGGCCATCTGTCAGAAACTTCCTCAGCCCCTCTTCTTCTTCATTCCTCCAATGGAGGAGCCTCACTCACTCTCTCTTTTTCTCCTCTGGTCATAAAAGAAGAGGTATTCCACTTGGTAAACTTTTACTTGTACCCTCACTGCTATTCTTTTCTGCCCATGCCAGGACCTTGCTTCCACAGTCATCCTACTCTCATTCGTCCTCAATCTCCCTCTTCAGTGTCCCCTTCCTATTTGCCTGTAAGCAAGTCCAGGTCTCTCCAATCCTTAAAAACATTGCCTTTCTACCTCATCCCCCTACCAGCCCCTCACTCCCCTCCCCTTCATTGCTAAATTTATTTAAAAAGTTGTTTAAACTTATTGCTTTCAATTTACTACTTATCCCCCTTTTCTTTCTTTAGTTCTTGCAAATCAGGCTTCCACCCTCACTATTCTACAGAAACTTCTCTTTCTGAGGTCACCAGTAATCTCCTAATTATGAAATCAAATGATTTTTCTTTTAGTCTTCATTCCTCTTTCTCTCTCTGTAGCCTCTGACATTGCTGACCATTCCCTCCTACTGATACTTATTCCTTCCTTGGCTTCAGAGATGCCACTCTCTCCTGATTCTTTAACTGTTCCTGCCTTGTCTCATTTTTCCATGATTCGTTAATATGGATGTTCCTCAGGGGCCTGTTCTCGGCTCTTTTCTTCCTTTATGCTTTAGCTTTTGGCAATTTCATTCCTTCTGTGATTTTAGCTAACATTTCTATGCAAATGATTTACAAATCCATTTTTATTCTGTGAGTTCCAGATTCATGTCTCCCACTAGAAGTCCTACCTTTAACTTTTATCTCTCATTGTCTTTCTTATGTATAGATTTGTTCATCTTATCTTTCTGCTGAACAAATTTTGGTGCCTTCCTACTTTATTCCACCTTAGTACCAACTTCATAGTGTTTAGAGCTAGAAGGGGCTTCTGAGATCATCTAAACCACTTATTTTATAAAGGAGGAAGCTGAGTCCAAGAGAGGTAAAGGGTACTTGCCCAAAGTCGTATAGGAAATATGTAGCAGAGCTGGAATTCAGCCTTAGAACCTCTAATACCAAATGCACAGCCCCTTTCCACTACACCATCTTGCCTCTCAATTCCTTTGCCTGATGTTTAGGACCCACCATATCATCATCAATAAAAATAATCTAGCTGCTTTCACTCACATGAATCCCCTCCATACTGAGTCACTTTCTGCTTCCTGCACACTCCCTTCCCTCCCCTTGCCTCTGTGTCTTTCTTTCAACTCTTCCCTTATGCCTAGAAGACTGTTTCTTCTCTTCACCTTTTGAATTCCTACCTATCACTTAAAGTCCAACTTAAATTCCTCCTCCTCCCTGCAGTTTTCCCTGATTGCTTTAATTCTAATGATCTCCCCCTGACTTCCCTGTGCTCTTTTTTTTGTCCCTCTCTTATAATAATGTGTATTAGCAATGATTATGTTCTAACCCCCTGCTACACTGTGAATGTCATGAGGACAGGGACTATGTCTTATCTAAACTGTGTATCATTTCCAGCACTAAGGCACAGTGATTTGCGTATAACAGGTACTCAGTAACTGTTGTGTGAATGAATGAGGAGATTGGACTGAGATGAATGATAATATACCTACTGTTAGTACAATGCTATGATTCCATGATACCAACCAAGCCAGCCAGGGGCATGGTTTGCCTGGGAACATCGTAAGTATAGAAACATATGTAAATGATCCCTCTTATTCTTCAGGGCTTTCAGGAAGACCATCAATGTGATCAAGAGGCTAGAGAACTATAGCAGATCTCCAGTCTTCTCTCATGTCCTTACCTGTCTGCATGGCCTGAGCTCTATACATGTCTATGGGAGAACCAATGACTATGTCCAGGAGTGAGTCCTTGTAGATTTGTTCCTGGGCCTGAGAAGTGGAGGTGGGGAGAAAATGGTAGAGACAGACATAGCCTTTCCCCCAGAACTATTATTTGCCGATCTCAGAATCAGGACCATTTGGGTCCAAGTCCCCATCTATGAACATGTTAGCCATGTGACCCTGGACAGGTCACTTAACCTCTTGCGTCTTAGGCAACTGTTGAAGACTCCGTTTCAGAAATATGCAATGGCAGCAGGGGAGGCGGTGGGAAGGAGGAGGTGGGATTCCTCACCAGGCATTCCCTACATCAATGCAACCATATCTGAACCCCCCCAAATTTTTTTATTCTTCTATTGAAAACCTCCTCTAATGCTTTACCAGATGTGACCCTAAGTTCCTGAAGATTATATCAAAAGAATATAAGTCCTGGCAGGTTCTCTTAAGCTGGAAAAGTTTTGAGTAGAGGGCCTGGTGTCTACCTGAGTCCATCATCAGAGGACCATCCTTGCCACATTCGGAGAGGCTCACAATTCAGGGGGTTGGTTATGAGTGGATGAGATTTTTGGTCACAACAACTCATGAAAACCATTTCTGAAGGAGGGCTAGTGGCAACAGTGGAGGAACAACCCATAATGATGAAACCCAGAATCTCGTTAAGTGTTGAAGAAGTATCATTTGATCTATCCCTAGAAGCTCAGATTCTTAGAGCTGGAAGGGACCTTAGACGTCATCCAACCCAGTGTGTCCTTGATATATGAACTCTGCCTCTATAACATCTCAGAAAAAAGGTCCTCTAGACTTTTGCAGAATAGTTCCAGTGATGATGAGCTTAATACTTCATGGGGCAGCCTGTTTCATTGTTATACAACTCTGATTGTTAGAGAGCAGGATATCTAATAAGTACTTAAATTTTGATAAAAAATAATGGGGACTGGCATTCCACTAAATGAGAGCATTCTTTTCCATAGAGTTGGCCCTTGCCCTTCCACTCTATGCTGTTGCTCTCTAAATTTCAGTTCTACCAATCCTGGGACTTCCATTCCTACTTGGGATGGTTATAATCACTGAATGAGTATCTATTATATACAGAAGTATGCTAGGTGTTGTAGAGAGTTCTAAACCGGAAGGGATCTTAGAACGTTAGAACATAAATCCTTTTAATAAAATTTTTATTTGTTCTATGAAAAAAAAACCCGAAAAACTCTGAACCTGAGATCTTAATCTCCTGACTTTAAGACCAGTGATTTTCATATTATAGCACACACCTCCCTGACCAGAATGTCTAGTTGCTTAACTGCCAGATAATAAAGTGCTTATTGTACCCACGAGTGTGTACAACATCCATTGCCTGGATGCCTAAAGACTGGATGGCTATTCTGAAAAGGCTTCATAGTAGAGATGTAGCTCAAGCAGTGTGCTGGAGGTAGGGAGGGCTGTGGTTTGGCAGACGGGGTGGGAGGGCTTGATGTATTCACAGCCTCAGAGGTGGGTGTGGGTGAGTTGTGAGCAGGAGGTAGTACTGCAGAAAATCTTTGAAGATGGATTTGATTTGCATGATTGTCACTCCCGCAACACCTCTATCTCATTCTAGATTCAGAAGGCTCACAGATAACCATTGTAACTATGTATTGCTGTTTGTGTCTGCCACACGTTGGATCTCATTGAGACTCGAGCTCCTAACCAACCTGATGACCCTAGCAGTGGCCTTGTTTGTGGTTCTAAGTCCTACTTCTATAAGCTCTTCCTATAAAGCCATGGCCATAAGCTACGTCCTGCAGGTGAGCCTGGTGGCACATTGTTCTCCTTGGCTCTGTGCCTGGTATGTATGGCTGGGGTAGAGACTAATTATGGACTTGAATTTAGCTTGTTCCATAAGCACTGACTGACACCTTCCTGGTTTAAGGGGCTTAGTGTGTATTGGGGGAGACAGGGGTCTTGTTTAGAGAATGAAAGGCAGAAAGTTCCTGCTGAAGTAGTGTGGACATAATCAATTCAAGATCAGTAAATGGAAACTATGGTTTGGTAGAACTGAAGGTCCAAGGGTGTGAGGCAGTGTCTAAAACAGAAGCAGGGACAGAATCTTCAGTCAGTCATTTTTCAGTCATACCCAACTCTTTGTGACCCCACTTGGGGTTTTCTTGGCAAAGATACTGGGGTGGTTTGCCACTTTCTTTTCCACATCATTTTGCAGATGGGGAAACTGAAGCAAACAGGATTAAAGTGACTTGCCCAGGGTCACACAGCTACTAAGTGTCTGAGGTCAAATTTGAACTCGGGAAGATGAGTTTTTCTGACTCTAGGCCAGCACTCTCCCCACTCTGCCATTTATCTGCCCTCAGAGAGAATCACAAATAACAATAATATCTGGGGTAGCAGTAGTGATGGATGAGGATTCTAACAGGTCAATGCCATGGCTGTAGTTCATTTGCCAAGGAAGGCAACAAAGCTTCAAGTTTGAGAAAGTCTTCTCTTTATTTGCTGCAGTCATTTGTTCTGTGGACTTGTATGTATCAATGATCTTCCTTCAAAAAGCTGGCACAACCTTTTGTCTACCTCTAAAATCTGTCCAGGTGGGGTTCCTGTCCCAGATGTTTCTGTTATTCTCAATGGCAATGGCTTACTCTAAGTGGTAGTGGACAGGTGGGTGGTGGTGGTGGTGGGGGGGGTCCAGAACCCCTCCCTCTACTCCCATGACATTCCTTAGCAGATGCCCTGGATTCTGTTGATTAAAATGATAGGGATCTGAAGGTCCTTGCTATTTGTACACTGATAAATAACAAACAGACTAGTAATCGTCCATCTGAAATGTCATAGCCTAGACATTATGGCTATGGATTCTGTCTCTTACTGTTTCAGCCAAATTTCAACATGTTCCTTCTCTAAATAGGTAAATTAAGCTGTGAGAAAAAGAAGCACCCCAAGTCGTTTCAAGAATTGTCAAATCTCAACATTAGCAGGGACTTTAGGGACTATCTAATACAACCTGCAGTCTCTTCTGCATTCCCAATCTACTTTGCCTCTACTTGAAAAGCTCCTCCTCCTCAAGGCTTATCCAAGCTAAACTAACACAACTTCTTCAAATAATACTCCTAGGGCAGGATTCAAAGGATTTAGTGTCCTGGTTGCATCCTCCCTACATCTTTGTATGACCTAACGCTTATTAATGTTCTTTCTAAAACCTAGAATCCTTCACAGTCTGACCAAGAGCGGAGTAGATGACTATCACCTTCCTACTTCTGGATATGACCCCTCTTCATTTAGTCTAAGATTCCACTGATGTTTTGGGCTGCCATATCACACAGTTGAACCATACTGAGCTTGCAGTCCAACTAGACCCCCCCAGATCATTTTCAGATGAAGTGAGACACATGCAAGGAGTTAAAGCAGTCCAGGCACATTGGATGGCCAATGCAAAGGCACAGAGATAGAAGATGTAGTGGTATGCATGAAGAAGAAAGAGATAGCTAGTTTTGTCCATATTGAAGAGTGTAGGAGGGAGAGTAAATGTATACTGAAGTTTGAAACATAGGTTGGAGCCAGATTGTGAAGGGCTTTAAAAGCTAGAGAGAGGAATTCATATTTTATCATAAAAGAACAGGAATAGGAATTCACTAGAGGTGATTGATCAAGGGATACAAACTGTCATATGTTCAATTAAGAAAATTACTTGGGTGATGGTGAGTAGGATGAATTGGAATGAGAGAAGACTTGAGGCAGGGAGACCAACTAGGTGCCTGATGCAATAATCGAGGTATGAGGTTACAAGGGCCTGAACTAAAATGTAGCCGTGTGAGCAGAGAAGTAGTAAGATGTGAGAGATATTGTGGAGGTAGAAACAGCAAGATCTGGTAACTGATTTGATATGTAGGGTAAGAGATAATATTGAGAAAGAGTAGAAGACTAGGACAGTGATTTTGACAAAGAGAGAAATTTGAAAGAGGGGAAGTTTGGAAGGGTGTGTGTGGGATTACATATTGAGTTCAATTTTGGACATAATGAATTTGAGATGTCTCCAAAACATCCAGCTTGAAATGGCCACTAGGTAGTAGTTAATGTGAGGCTAAAGCTCAAGGGTGAGACTGAGGCTGTATGTATAGATCTGAGAGTCAGCTGCAAAGAGATGATAGTTAAACCTATTAGAACCAATGAGGAACAATTGAAGTGAAGGAGCATGCTGTGAGCCAGTAAAGGAGAATGAGAAGGAAGACTGGTCAGACAGGTAGGTGGTGAAACAGGAGACTAGGAGGATGGTAGCACTCTCAATAGAGACAGGGAAGTATGGTAGAGGAACAGGTTTATGGGGGGATAAGAAGAGGAAGATTATGAGTTTTCTTGAGTTTGATGTCTATGAGACATCCAGTTTGAAATATCTAATCAGCAATTGGTGATGTAGGACTGAAGCTTAGAAGAGACTGAACAGTGTGTACAGATCTGGGAGTCATCTGCACAGAGATGGTAATTCAACAGTTGGGAAATAGTCCTGGCAGAGCCTAGGTGTACATCCAAGGTTAAGGGGAATGATATGGACAATGAGGCGGCAGAGGACATGAAGAAAGACTCATATCCTTACCAGCAGTGTAGTGCTTTCTTTAAAATGCTAAAATGTTTTTTTGTTTTAATTCTTAATTTCCCACACTGTAATTCCTTTGCTTCTTGTTCTGTTTTCTCTGGGCCTCTTTCACAATAGCTAGCATTTTGTAGTGCTTTAAAGTTTATAAAATATTTAACAAATATTATTACATTTTATCTTTACAACAACCCTGAGAGGTAGGTGATGTTATTATCCCCATTTTACACCTGAGAAAACTAAGGCAGAGAGGGGTTACGTGATTTGCCCAGGGTCACAGCCACTAAGTGTCTGAGGCTGGATTTGAACTCACATCTTTCTGGCTCTAGGTTTCATGATTATCAACCTCAGTACTTACACAGTTTGTACACAGATTCAAAGAATCTTAGTGAAGGAAGGATTCCCTGAGCAGGAATCTCCTCTCTATGACATCCCTGACAAATGGTCATACATGTGTCATATGTGTGTCATGATAGGCCTGGGAGCACAGAGCTTCAGTCAACAAGAACTTATTCTGCTTTTGGATAGCACTAACCATTAGGAAATTACTTTTCTTACATTAAGCCAAAATATCTTCTAGATTCTGCTACTTTTCCCCCTTTCTCCTGTTCCTGTCTCCAAAGGCCAGGCTGCCCAAGTCAAATCCTTCTTCCACATGACAATTCTTCAAATGCTTAAATACTTTGAATACTTAAAGACAGTGCCTATATCCGTTCTAAGTCTTCTGTTCTCCAGACATCTCCAGTTCTTTGAATTTATTATCATATGGCATAGTCTTCAGTCTTTTCACCATCCTCTGGGTGACAAAAACAGACAAGTCTGTTGTCCTCCTGGGGTGTGTGTGGAGGAGGTGATACAGAATACAGAAAACAGATACAGACTTGTCAATAGGGTAGGGATAGTAAGTGGACCTGTGACTTCACTGGTAAAGGGAACACCCAGGAGAAGGAAACTCCTATGCATGCAGTTCCATACCTTTTCTGTTTGCCTTAATCCCCTGGAGAAGGAAATGGCAAACCACTCTACTCTCTTTACCAAGAAAACCTCATGGACAGTACCAGTGTGCTATGGTCCATGGGGTCATGAAAAGTTGGACACAACAGAACAACAACAACAATCTTCTCTGCAACTGATAGGCTGAGAGAGCTGGCGAGAGCTACATCTGACAATACTTTTCTTGTGTGAACTGCACACAATGCCCCAATAAGGGCATAGTTCAAACCCAGAAGAAGAATATTCCCATAGAAGAGATAAGGAAGGCTTTCAGCTGTAAGGATGAAGGCTCTACCCCTCTCTCTTCAAGAAACACACTTCCCAATTAGGAGTCTGTTGAGGATAGAGCTGAGCACTCTGGCTTGTCTCAGGAACTACAAAATTGCCTCTGCCCTGGGAGGGTAATTCATTAACTATTCCCTAAGGTATGGGGTGCTTTTTCTCCACTTGGCTTGGAGTCTGTTTTCTCTGAGATCTATTTTACTTTCAGAGGCAAAAGAACTCAGTGTCCTCATGTGCTCATGTTCTGCCCTGCCCCATGCTCCCAGGCCTATCAGCTTTAGAGCCCACACAGAATAGGCACCATACACTCATATACAGACACCGCAGAGACCTACATTCACACACTCCATACTCATGACCACAGAAGTATACATGCACTGTACACATTCATACACACACACACACACACACACACACACACACACGCACACACATGCACGCACACACACATCTCTTCAGGATGCACATATTCAAAGGCACACACATGCCTGTCTACATGACATGCATATAGAAACCTCTTCCCATAAATCTTGTGTTGTTTCCCATGTCATCTGACCAGAGCTCCCTGCCATTTCAAAACAGTTTCTATGATTCTGAGCCTCCCACTCATTCTGGAGGAAGCTGTCAAAACTTCTTCCTCTCCCAATCCTATCTAGCCTTCAAAGCCCAGCTCCATCTCTGCCATAAAGTCTTCTACTCCCCTTTAATCTTAGGATCCTTCTTTTAATAAGAAAAAACGAAAAGAACATTTGAATCTCAATTGTGCTTTTTACTATCTATGCAATCTTGGGCAAGTCACCATCATCTTGAGGCTACATTTTTTCTAATCTGTAAAATAAGGGAACTGGAATAGATGATTTCTCAGCCCCCCTCCATCTCTGAAATCCCATGATTATCCCTTAGGACTGTGGAGTGGTAGGGTATCCCATCCTGACCTGTACAGGATAGAGAAGGACTTATACTTACAATATGGCATTTCTTCTTGATTCCAGTTGGCTTCAAATTTTCAGGCTTGTGCCAGGTTGGGTTCAGAAACAGAGGCCCGGTTTACTTCTGTGGAGAGGATACTCCAGTACATGAAGGTAGGAGGATTCAGTATAGAGAACTACTGTGTGATCTTCTTAAAAAGTCAGTCTGTTAACTAGCATTTATTTATAAAAGGAGGTAAAAGTAGTCTTTGGCACTTCCCCAGCTCTCCTTGCTCTCACTTTGCCCATCCCAACGTCCTGTACATAATGCTCCCAGCATGCCAGGAGCTCCTACAGTTCTAAGGATTTTCATTTAGTCTCCTTTTTTGTGACCCCCCTACCCTCATCCAAATTAACCCATTCTGAATGCTATTCTCTCAGTCCCTCACTAACTGCCTGGAAGTTGTGGGTATTGACTGATGGCTTAAAATCCAATAAAGTAAATCTGTTCTAATAGGCTACTGTGTTATCCTTTCAGGTAATTATCAGACCTTCAGCCAGTCAAAATTCATATATCGCCAGTAGTCCATAATGAGTAATTTTTACTTGTGGGTATTTCTGACTGTTAGGGAAAATATTGGGGAGGGGGTACAGAGGAATCTTTTAGCACCTTCTAAATGACAACTTATAACATGTCCATGGGCTACCACCCCTGGGATAGGGAGAAGGGGGTTGTAACAATCACTTTCTTTTTCTTTTAAAAAATAAAGCTGTCTGTTCCTGAGTCCCATTTACACATCAAAGGGGTGAGCTGCCCCCCGGATTGGCCACAGCAAGGGCAAGTAACCTTCAAGGATTATCAGATGAGATACAGAGACAACACACCAATAGTTCTCAATGACATCAACCTGACCTTTTATAGCCAAGAAGTGGTGGGCATCGTGGGAAGAACGGGCTCTGGTGAGGGATCCCTGGCTACCTCTTTGCCCTTGTCAGCATCTGCTGGACCCTCCTTTGTTGTTTCTCATAGAACATGAGAGAGGAAAGGGACTTGAGGGAGCCTTTTGTCCAGCCCCCTCCTTTTGCAGAGGAGGAGAATGAGGGCCAGAAAGGCGATATTACGTGACCAAGGTCACATGGCTTGTGAGTAGCAAAGCAAGGACCAGAATCTAGGTCTTCTCCCTCTCAGTACAGTGCCATGCTGCTTTTGCTTCTTGACTAAATACTTACTACCCTACAGCACTGTAATGGCACAAGGGCAGGGCCCCTGCCTTATTTAAATTTCGACTCTCAATCCATGTTTATAACTATATCACATGCCCAGTAGGTGACTAATAGTTTTTTTTAAGCTGAATTAACTATTTGTTGAAATAAAACTCTGGACTAGTACAGATCTAATGAAACAACCAGCCCTTGCCCTCTGGTGCCCACAAATAAAGTGGGTAATTCAGTAGTTAAGGTTTCCCTGTGAGGTTGGCTGTCTAGGTCTCTGTGTGGGCTTGGGTTCCCAGCAAGGGCCAATGAAAGGCTTCATCATGAAGCAGTAACAGTATTATTTTACTCCTCACTTCTGCAGGAAAGTCCTCTTTGGCAGTGGCTTTATTCCGGCTGGTGGAGCCTGCTGCTGGCAGTATCTTTATTGATAATGTTGACATCTGTAGCCTTGGCCTAGAGGATCTGCGGTCCAAGCTGTCAATCATCCCTCAAGATCCTGTCTTGCTATCAGGCACCATAAGGCAAGAGCTGCTTCATGTTGACCACTATAATATCAGAGCTGGAATTTTGTTTAATTTAGCAGATATTTATTTAGCACCTACTAGTGCGAAGCACTGGGCTGGGTGCTGGAGATATAAAAGCAAAAAGGCTTACATCCTACTAGGCCTTAGAGGGCCCCATCACAAAAAGCATCTATGGAGGGGAAATTTAATTCCAGGAAAGGGAAAGCAAGGACTAGAACCCAGGTTTTCCCACCCAGTTCTGTTTCTACTGTGTTTATAATATTGCATAAGGCAAATGAACAAATGAGCCACAATTGAGATAAATGATCCAGCATTCTCTGCCTGGCTATCCTTAACATGCTTCATTGATATAGTTGAAAAAGTATCTCCTTGTTGTATGGCAGGTTCAACTTAGACCCCTTTGAAAATTACACCGATGAGCAAATCTGGCAAGCTTTGGAAAGAACATACTTGACTAAGACAGTGAGTAACTACAAACACCAAAATCTTTTTTCTTTTAAACAAATGAGGTGCTCTTCTTTGGAAGACTTGGGAGGGGTTGCTATAGTCTGACTTACACTGCCTTTCTGGAAAACGCCTTCAGGATAAGCCAAACTATGTCCAGATGGCATAAAGGCTAGAGTCTGCTTCTGCTCCTTTTTCTGGGGGTGGTCCTCAGAGTAACACTTGCATCTTTGTGTGGCAGATCTCAAAACTCCCAGAAAAACTGCTAGCTGAAGTTGTGGAAAATGGTGGAAACTTCTCTGTTGGGGAAAGGCAGCTTCTTTGCATAGCTAGAGCCCTCCTGCGCAATTCCAAGGTAAGGAAGAGCAAAGAAGGCTCATAACTAGAGCTAGAAAGGACGCTTGAGGTCATCTACTCCAGCCCCCTTAATTTTACAGTTGAGCAAAGTGAGACCCAGAAAGGTTAAGTAACTTGCCCACATGATCTGGGCAGAACCCAGATTCAAACCTCCACTCTTTGACTATAAATCTAGCACTCTTTGGAGCAGATACTCCAAATTGCCTTTGGGAAGAAGAGCCAAGGGGCATCTAGATGGCTCAGTGGATAGAGCACCGGCCCTGTAGTAGGGAGGACCTGAGTTCAAATTTGACCTCAGACACATAACCTTTACTAGCTGTGTAACTCTGGGCAAGTCACTTAACCCCTAATTGCCTTGCAAAAGAAAAAAAAGAAGAAGAAGGAAGTAGAGCCAAGATGAAGTAGCAGTAAATATGACCAAGCTCTACCTATCACCTCCAAACAGATTTAATAAATGTATCAGACTGAGTCCTAATTAAAAAATAAAAAGCAAAGCTAAATAGTTTTTATAAATGAAGTGAGAGCACTAGAACAAAAAAGAGGGAAGACAAATAAGAGATGTGAAGAAATAATCTGAAAGGGAATTAACAGCTTGGCATACTAAGCATACAATCTTACCCAATTAACAAACTCCCTGAAAATGGGAATGGATCAGATAAAAGATAATGACTCTATGAGACTCAAAAAATGGAAGAAAATATGAGATATCCCATAGTATAAATAATTGAGTGAGATGAAATAATTTAAGCCTGAAAGTCATAACCAAAACAAACAAACAAACAAAAAAGAACCCAGACTCTATATTTCAAGAAACCATAAAAGAAAACTACCCAGATCTCTTAGAACCAGAGGGGAAAGTACAAAAAGAATCCACTAACCATATCCTTAAACAACCTCCCAAATGAAAACTCCCAGGAACATTAGAGCCAAAATCTAGAGCTTCTAGGTCAAAGAAAGTATTTTGCAAGCAGCCAGAAAGAAAGAATTTAAATACCAAGAGCACAGGCAGGATTACACATGATTTAGTAGCCACCACTATCAAGGAGCAGAGAATTTGAAATACCATGATCCAGAAGGCAAAGAATATGAGTTTATAATCAAGAATAACTTACCCAGCAAAACTGAATAAAATCCTATCAGAGAAAAACACATGAGACGCTAATCAAGTAGGAAACTTCCAAGCATTTCTGATGAAAAGACTAGTGCTACACAGAAACTTTGAAATGCAAACAAAGGAGTCAAGAAGAACATTTGAAAAAAGGTAACATGAGTGAATAATCGTAAGGGACTAAACAAGGATCAACAGTTTACATTATAATGTGAGGGGTCACGGAAGGAGTCTTATTAGACAGAGGACCTGGAAGGACCTGGTTCTGTTAGGTTTTTATTGTCTTAAAAGAAAAAAGGAAAGGGAAAGAGCAATATGTCAGGGAGAAAAAAGGGAGAAAAAGATAGGGAAGATTATCTCACATAATTGTGGTATGCAAGTAGACATTTATACAAACAAGGAGGAAGAGGTGAGGGGAGCATATAGCAATTGAAACTCACTCTCATCTAACTGGAAGAAGGGAAGAATACATATACACAATTGAGTACAGAAAGATATTTCACTCAACAGGGAAATAGGAAGGAAAGGGGAGGACAAAAGAAAGGAGGGTATATTAAGGAAGAGATCAGTCCTAAGAAAAACAAACTCTAACAAGGGATGTATAAAAATGTTTCTAGGAACTCTTTTTGTGGAAACTGAAGGGATGCCCATCAGTTAGGCAATGGTGGAACAAGTTATGGTATATAAATGTGATGAAATATTATTGTGCCGTAGTAAATGATAAAGGGGACGATTTCAGAGAAACTTGGGTAAACTTGTGTGAATTGATTTGGAGCAAAGTGTACAGAAACAGAACAATTTTTATAGTAACAATATTATAAAAACAAACAACTTTGGAAGACTTGAGAACTCTGGTCAATGCAATGACTAATCATGATTCCAGAGGACTAATGATGAAACAGGTTACTGACCTCCATGGAGAGGTGATGGATTTGGAGTATAGATTGAGACATTTATTTTTGGACTTGGCCAATGTGGGAATATGTTTTGCTTGATTATGCATGTTTGAAAGGGTTTATTTTTTCTTTCTTCATCATTTGGGGGGGGGAAAGAAGAGAAGGCTAACTTGTTAGTTAAAAGAATTCATTAAAAAAAAGAAACATCATTAGGAGATGAAAGAGCTGGATGTCTTCTGAAAAGCCATTCACTTTCCAAATTTTTGAGTGTCTTTGACACTTAAAATTTTTTTTTTCATCTGTGTATCAGTCTTCTTTTCTTATTTGATCAGACTTACTAATCTGTCCAAGTTCCTCAGTCTACATATAGAAATGTTAAGATGCATTATTTGCCAATAATTATAACAGTAATTAATTTGGTATTGTTTCATCAGCTATGATTTCATCAGTAATAGGGCTGGTGTGGAAACTCACTCTACCAGTGAAGATCAGCAAGTCTTCTTTAACTTAACAGTTTAAGATATTTTGTGGGGGCACTGATATTAAGTGACCTGACCATGGCAATACAGCTCATATCTGTCAGAAATAGTACTTGAACCCAGGTCATCCTAACTTCAAGACCAGTCCTCCATCCACTATACCACACTGCCTCTCAATAATTTGTTATGATAATAATATAATAATTTGCTGTTATAATGATAATCCTTTGAATTTTCCATGTTATACATTTTTTTCCCCCAAACTCTTATAATTTTCTCATTTGGTCTTCACTAACATGGGAGGTAGAGATTATTACATCATTTCACAAGTAAGGAAACTGAGGCACATTTTTCCCAAGGTTCCATTTGTGGTCCAGGTCAGAATCTAAACCTAGGTCTTTGTATTTTTAATGCAGTACACATTCAACTTTATAATATTTGGCACTAAGCAGGATCCTATTTTAGTTCCTGCTAGCACCCCACCCCATCTTGTGGCTGTGGCTCCTCAGGGCATGAAGTAACAGTTGATGATGTAAGCATTTGGCACAGCCTTATTCATTGACAGCCAACCAAGAGTGGATCAGTGTGCACTCTGAGCCAAAATTCATATTGTTGGTAACTGCAGCGATGTCATAGTCATATACTATTAGGTATGTCCCAAAGCACAGTAAGAACTGACCCCCCCCACAATCCCAAACATACACCTTTTTCTTACAGCCAATGACCCTATTCTCCCCATGTTGATACAGAACCTCTATGGATATGGATATGGATATGGATATGGATATGGATATGGATAATAATTCACTTTTCACATATGGGTCTGCCTTTGTGTTAAAGGTGCAAAATGTTATATAAACACTAAGGGGGAAAGGTCATTGCTGACTGGTAGTGTGGGAAAATTTAAAAGGAATGACATTTAGATTGGCTTCAAAGTTGGATGGATCAACAGGTCAAGAGGAGAAGGGAGCACATTCCATACATAGGATACTATTAGCAAAAGCACGGAAGTGGGAAAATATAGGGAGTTTTCATGGGACAAAAAATATTCAAGTTAGGCTGGATTATAAAGTACATGGAGGAGGGTGATATGAAATAAGGTTGGAAATGTAGAATGGTGCCAGGTTTTGTCTTTGTCTTTGTCTTTGAATGCCAGGTGGAAGAGTCTGAACTTTATTCAGCAGGCAATAAGGAACTAATAAAGATTTTTGAGCAAAAAATTAATATGATAATTTATTGCATTGAAATAGTCTAAATTTTTCCTTTCACGTAATTTTAGATAAAAAGAAGGAAGTTGCTCTGGGGATATTTTAAATCCTAGGGGCTTTGCTTTTTGGTGATGTATAGTTAGCTCGAGATGGTGCAATGGATAAGGCACTGGGCCTGGATTTAGAAGACTTGAGTTCAGATCCACCTTCAGATACTTACTAGTTGTGTGACCCTGGGCATGTCATTTAACCTTTTTATAGTACCTATCTCCCAGGGTTGTTGTGTGGATCAAATGAGATAGTATTTTTAAAGCACTTAGCACAGTGCCTGGCACGCAATAGACACTTAATAAATGCTTATTCTCTTCCTCTTCCCTAGGTCTGGGTTCTAACTATATTTTCTGCTTCTCCATTACCAGATCATATTAATAGATGAAGCTACTGCCTCCATTGATGTGGACACTGATGCCCTGATCCAGCACACAATTCGAGAGGCATTCCGTGGTTGTACAGTGCTGATCATTGCACATCGCATCACAACTGTCCTGGACTGTGACCGCATCCTAGTTATGGACAATGGAAAGGTAATAGGAACTTCCTGGGACCAAGAAGAGAGGGCATGACTCATACCAGGGCAAAAGAGCTTTTCCTTCCCTTTCAAGACAAGCCATGGCTACTCTCCTAGCTACTCAACCCTTTAGAATATTAGCGTTAGGAAGAACCTTAAAAATTAGCCCCCATTTTAAAGATGAGGAAACTGAGGCATTTATAACAGGGAACACTGAGATAACACAGTGAGTTAGTGTCAGGGCCAGGACTTGAACCAATGTTTCCTGACTGCCAATCCAGTGTTGTTTCCTACTCACCTTTCTATTTTTTTTCACCTTCCTATTTTCTAGGTGTTGGAGTATGACAAACCTGAAGTCCTACAACAGAGGCCTGATTCAGCATTTTCAGCTTTGCTGGCAGCAGCACATAAAATGTAAAATTAGAGCAGTGGTGTATGGGAGAGCTCCAGATGGATCTGGAGGTCCGAGATGGGACCAGCTTAACCACTGGGCTCTGAAACTCTCAAGTCCCCAAACTACATAGATATACTGCTATAAGTACTTCGATGAACTCAGTTTATCCAGAGATCCAGACCATGTCAGCATTTGAAAATTTCCTTAGAGCAGGATGGGCACAATTTTCCCCCATTTAAAAAAAATTCTGTGCTTAACAAACACCAAAGAAATTAAGATTTTCGTATATGATATGGAAAGGGAAAGGATTGTGCATGAAACTCTGAGTCTCTATTATGTAGAGCTTGCTTTTCTTTTTAAGGATACAATAAACTCAACATGTAACTTTCAAGTTGCCTGCCAATCTATAATTCCTTCTGGCCTGTCTCTTCTCTTCCCATTTTCAGTGGGGGGCGGGTAGGGGAAAAGAGAAAGAAATCCTATCACCCATTTTCTTCTCCTTTTCAACTCAATTTCCTGGCCCCTCCCAAAAATTGAAAGAAAAAAGAAAAAAAACCTTTGTAACAAGTGGACACAGTGAAGTGCACAAATTTTCACACTGTTCACATCTAAAAATGAACATCTCATTGAGTCCAGCACTACACTGTCAGGAGAAGGGGTAGCGTGCTTCATCATCAGTCCTCTGAAATTGTGGTTAGCCATTGCCTAAGAGAGGCTTAGGCCACATCCTCAAAATGTTGGTATCATTGTTTAATTACTTTTGACCCACAAATTCTTTAGGATTAAGTTAGTCTCTAATTACTTTTTTAAATTTAATTTTATTTATGTTTTTAGTTTTCAACAGTCACTTCTTTAAGATTTTGAGTTCTCTATTTCCTCCCTTTCCCTCCACTCCTCCCTCCCCAAGATGGTGTGCAATCTGACATAGGCTATACATATGCAATCATATTAGACATATTTCCACATTAGTCATGTTGTAAAGAAGAATTAGAACCAAAGGGAAAAACCATGAGAAAGAAGAAACAAAAAAAGAGAGAGAGAAAGAGGAGAAAGGGAGAGAGAGGGGGAGAGGAAAAGGAGAGGGAGAGGGAGAAGGAAAGAGAGAGATTCTCTAATAGATTTGAGAAGACCTGAGCGCAAATCCAGCCTCAGACACTCAGTAGTTGTGTCACCCTGGGCAAGCCACTTATCTTGTTTGCCTCAGTTTCCTCAACTGCAAAATGGCAATAGCAATAGCACCTACTGCCCAGGGTTGTTGTGAGGATCAAATGAGATAATATTTGCAAAAACACTTAGCGTAGTAACTGGCATGTAGTAGGTGCTATATAAATGCTTATTCCTTCCCTTCTTTCTTTACGTAATTCTCTTTCCTTTTATGGATGAGTTCACACCAGTCACATTCGCAGTTATGATCATTAATTGTGTATTTCCTTCTTTCCTATTCTCTTATAGTTTTTCCTCACTCTTCCCCCCAATCCTTTCCTCACAAAGAAGAGGTTGGTGAGAGAGGTGTATGCTCAGTACTAGGGATTTATGCCTTCTTCTGTTCCCCTGCTCCTCTTTTCTCCTAATCCAGACCCAAAAACACAAATTCATGCTCTCCCCTTCTTTATTTTTAAATCCTGCTTCTTGGTCCACCCTCTAAAGTTATTTTGTTTTGTTTTGTTTTTTGCTTCTAACAAATACTCCTGGAGTCTACCTCCTTGTTTTCACCATTCCATCTCCAAATTCTATCCTGTTTCTCTGTAAACTGAATGTATTTCTACAGGAAAGTCTCTCTGTCTGTAGTTAAGATAAAAGTGAGGTTCAAGTGATGCCCACTTCTTGCTCCTTATCCGTATAGTCTTCTACTTGAACACTCTATATAAAGGGATGAGTTTTCCCCTCAATTTCTTCCCCCTTTCCCCAGTGTATTCCTTTTTTTCCTTTCGTTTACTTTCTTCTTTTAAGTTAATAAAAACATAGCAAAACTACTCTTGATCTCTCTGTCTTATATAATGCCTTCTATGACCTCTGATGACATTAGAGTTCTGAGAGGACTTTTTTTCTCCTCTTCCCCTTGTAGAATACAAACTTCATCTGTTTATAGTGCCTCCCATTTGCTCAAATAAATTTACCTAATTTTCTCTTGACTCCTGAATTTGAATTTCATAGTTTCTAATTAGCACTAGTCTTTCCCTCAGGAATATGTGGAAGTTGTCTATTTCAAAGATACTCTGCCTCACCAACCCCTCCCCCAACCCCCCAGACATAGGACTATGCTGTTTTGTTAAATGTTGTACTTGATTGCAATCCTAAATCTTTTGCCTTTTGAAATATTGTTTTCTTAGCTCTATTCTTTATTATGGTGGTAGCTGCCAAATCTTGTGAGATCCTGACAGATTACTTGGTATTTGAATTTTTTCTTTCTGACAGCTTGTAGTGCTTTTTTTTTTCTTTGACATGGAAGCTCTGAAGTTTTTGTTTTGGAGTTTCTTTCAAAAGGTGACCAGTGAATTCTGTTTTTGTATTGTTCTATGGTATAAATAGGTCTATGCTGTTTTCATAATTTCTGGAAATATGATATCCATGTTCTGTTTTTTAAAATCATGACTTTCAGATAGTTTAATGATTCTTATATTATTTTTCCTTCTTGGCTCATTTTCTAGGCCAGTTGCTTTTGACATGAGCTATCTAATATTTTCTTCTATTTTTTGTTTTTAGTCTTTTGACTTAAATTTTTTTTTTTTTGCTTTCTCATGGAGTAGTTGACTTCTGTTTGGTCCATTTTAATTTTCAGTGAGTCAATGACTTGAATATGACTTTGTACCTCTTCTGTTGTTGTTCAGTCATTTGAGTTGTGTTCAACTTTTGTGGCCCCATTTGAAGTTTTCTTGGCAAAGATACTAGAGTGGTTTACCATTTCCTTCTCCAGTTCATTTTACAGATGAAGAAACTGAGGCAAATAGGGTTAAGTGATTTGCCCAGGGTCACATAGCTAGTAAGTGTCTGAGGCCAGATTTAAACTCAGAAAGATAAGACTTCCTAACTCCAGGCCTGTCACTATGTCCACTGTGCCACCTAGCTGCTGTTAATTATTTTTGCATGTCTTTCTTCTGGATCTTTCATTTCTCTTCACATTCTTTCCTCTGGAGGTCTCATTTAATTTATATTATTTTAAAACTCTTGCTTCATTTCTTAAAAGAATTCTAATTGACCTCGTGGCCAAACTATGTTTTTATTTAAGGTTTTACTTGTGAAAATTGTGGAGTTATTTTCTTCTTCTGGGTTTGTGTCTTGGGAGTCTATGACTCCATGATAGCTCTTTATTATCAGTTATCTTTTTTTGTTTACTCATTTTTCCAAGCCATTCTTCTGAAATTAGAACTTTGTGTTAGAGTTAGACTCTGTGTGCTAGAGTTTAACTTTGTGTTAGACTATACATTTCTCCTGTTTATTTTTTAAGTTTTTGATTTATTTTTAATATTCTTTTCTTTTTAAATTTTGAATTCTAGATTCTTTCTCTCACTCCCACTCCTACCTCACTGTTCTTTCAGGAGTTGACAACTGGATTCTTTCCCTTTCTATTTTGCCCTCTGTACCTAAGATATTGGGACAGTTTTCCTTGATAACATCTTGAAATATGATATCTAGGCTCCTTTTTTAATCATGGTTTTTAGTAGTCTGATAATTCTTAAATTATCTCTCCTTGATCTATATTCTAGGGCAGTCATTTTTCCTAAGAGATATTTCGCATTTTCTTCTATTTTTTCATTCTTTTGACTCTGTTTTATTGTTTCTGAAGTCTCATGGAGTCATTAGCTTTCACTTGCAAAATTCTAATTATTAAGGAATTAATTTCTTTAGTGAACTTTTGCACCTCTTTTTCCATGTGGCCAATTCTGCTTTTTAGGGAGTCCTTTTCTTCAGTGAATTGTGTACCTCCTTTACACATTAGACCAAATTTGTTTTTTGTTTTATGATGTTATTTTCTTTCAGGGGTTTGTGTCCCTTTTACCAAGCTGTAAATTCTCTTTTCATTTTTTTTTGCATCAATCTCATTTATTTTCCAAATTTTTCTCTACCACTCTTATCTTTTTCTTTAATTCTTCTAGGAATTCTTTTTGGGTTTGGCTCCAATTGGCATTTTTCTTTGAGGCTTTGCTTTTGTTTGTTTTCACTTCATTGTCTTCTTCAAGTTTATGTCTTGGTCTTCCCTTCCACTGTAGTAACTTTTTATAGTCAAGTTATTTTTGCTGTTGTTTGCTCATTTTCCTTACCTATTTCTTTAGTTTTAACTGTAGGGGAGGGGAGGCACTGGGCCAAGCTTCAAGCTTTTTTGTGCTACTGTTTTCAGAGCTAGATTGGAGTGGGGCTGGTCTTCAAGTTTTACATGCTTCCAAGGTGGTATTATCCTGTGAGACATGTGGTCACTGCTCTCCTGCTCTACCCTCTGGTCTTACTCAGGAAGGCCCCCTCCCTCCCTGCTGCTATAAGTACTAGTACTCCTCTCTGTCCTGGAACTGTGATGAGGACAAGGGACCAGGAACTGCTCCCTTGTGACTGACCACAAGAACTCATTTCTGCCCCAGAACTGTAACTCAGAACTGTGTATGGGCAATAGAGATGCCAATCAATGCCAGCTGCACCCAGTGCCAGCAAAAGATCCCCCATAATCTCTCTCTGACCAGTTGTCCAACTTCCTTATCATCTCTTGGCTAAGAGCTCCCAAAGCTGCTGCTGATGCTGCTCTTACAGGCCCCCTCCAAGGCCTACCATTGCTGCTTCTGCCTTGTTCCTGGCTTGTGCAACCCTGTGTTACAGACCTCTCCTATGGACCTCCTAAGTTGTCTTAGGCTGGAAAAAATATCTCCCTCTGACCTTTTGTTGGCTCTGCTGCTCCAAATTTGATTTGAGGTGTTATTTTAAAGTTGTTGAGAGAGTTCAGCTGGGTCCCTACTCTGCCATCTTGGCTTTGTCTTCTTCCTGTTTCAGACTATGCACTTCGAGTGGGAATGTTGCAGCTTTGTGTAACACTGATCTGTATTATCTGGGGTCTTGACATTACTTTCTCTGAGTACCGATTGTTGTTTTCTTCAAAAATCTCAGGGACGGCTCAGGCCAGGGAGCTGTAAACTTTTAGTGTTCTCTATGTGGTCTAATTTAATGGTCTGATAATTGCCCTCATGGTTGGAACTCTTCAGGTTCTCAAATCCAGTGTGGGTCTGAGCAACACTGTAGACAGTTGGTATCCCCAGTGCCCGACAACTAGCTGGCAGGCTCTGAGGGTTCAGAGTAGTCAAACTTCGAGCCTGCTCCTGGTCCAGATTCTCTGTGTGAGTTATTCAGCTGCAAGTCTCAGCCCAAGTCCATGGGATGAATCTGTGATCCAGCCATAACACAGCAGTG